AAAAAAAAAAAAAGACGCCACGCAATTTGGGCTGCAGGGCGAGAAAGGCATCTGACCGCTGGTTCAGACGAGCAGGGAAACGTCTGCGATTCTGCAGCCGGGTCGGGAGTCCCGAAAAAAGCAACGAGAGGACGAACCCTTGCCTCCGGCCGGACCAAAGCGGGTCGCGCGCTCTCTGCGCAGCAGTACTTTTTCTCGGGGCCCGCGCTGCCAGAGCGCAGCAGAGGCCAGAGCCCACCGTCCTGTCGCACGCCACCCCCGAGCGACCCGGCGCGTCGCCCCCAGTCCCACGCCCCACGCCCGCCATGAACCAAGGTCAGCCGCCTTCCCTCCGCCTACTCTATATTTATGTTTCAGCTGGCCGCGCTCCTCCTCTCCGCCCGCCGCGCGCTGGTGTAACTGCCTCAGATCCGTCGTTTTCGTCCCACGTCCCGCCCCGAGGGCTGATTGGCTGACGTCCGCCATAGCACTGATCCAACCCCTCACGCTGGGGTCGCAGCAACTGTCGTCGTCGGAGCAGCAGTGCATCGACGGTATTGGCTCTTATGCACATCATACCTCCTATGCAGGAGGAGGGGTGCCGGACCCGCTTCTGGTTCGGCGTGACCAGTCAGCGGGCAGCTTACTGTCGCTCCCCCAAGGCAATGCTGCTAGTTACATGGCACCTCGATCCGCGGCACATGATAGACAGTAGGTCAACTCTTTTCATTGGACATGCCTCCCTCGCCCGCCCGCAATTTCCGGCCTTGCTTTTCCCACTGGTTGCCTTGGCGCCCGCAGCAAGCACCTCTCCGAGTCATCTTCACGGCCCCCGAAGGCAAACACACGTCGTCGAGCCTAACTTCAAACCCGTCGCACACGTCCCGATCATTCGGTAGTCCTCTACCTCCCGCCAGCGTGGTTGTCACATTGATCACACGACTACCCTGGCCCCATCGTGTTGTTTTGCTCTGCTCAGGATTGTCAACTTAAACTGTGTCACTGTGCTCATTGGGTTACACATCCTCAGCCATTTCGCACCTTATCTCAATAGGCACCATTGCTGCGAGGCCATGACTGACGACGCATAATTCGCAGTTTCCACGCTGACACCAGCCCCGGCTCCATCTCCACGAGCCCGAGGTCCAACGCCTCCTCCATCGCCTACTCTTCGCTCCCCGGCCCGGCCTTCTACCCGCAACAACAACAACAAATAGGCGGCGTGGCGCAACCGTATTCGACCACCTCCCCCGTCTTCGCAAACACGGCCAGCTACCCCCAGCAGTCCTTTGGGCACCCGAGCTTCCGTCGCGGGTCGCTAATGTAAGTCTCCGCTCGAGTCCCGCCCGCCCTCCGTCGTGGCGTCCACAGCCCGTGGCTGGTCCAGATGGCACGAGTGACGGCTGACCGAGCGATTTCAAGAGCGGACGGTTCGCAATCAGTAATGTTACCTCCGGCTCGCTCTCCAGGTCTAGGTAATCCCGTGTCACCGTCGCTCAGTACGACCGCGCGAGACAATTATACCACTTCAACGCCTGGTCTACACCGCCACGGCGCTCTATCTCCACGCAGCCACGCCGATTCCCTCACCAACAGAACCCCCTACTCTTCCGTGCCGGATACCCCCAGGAGCGTCCTGTCTCAACAATCCCTCTCGCTGTCTCCTCCTGGCGCAATACCTCCCTACACCAACGCCGCAACCATGCTCACCTATCCCACCCAGCATGATACGCGGCAGCAGACCGAGTCACCCCCGTTCGCGGATCAAGAGACGTTCCACGAGATCAGCAGCGACGGGCAGATCATCGTGCCGCAGATCACTTGCCGTGTCGAGAAGGGCTTCTTCTACTCCTTGGACCGCACTTGGACATGCTATCGCAGGAACTACTTCTCTGTTGTGGCCTCGTACAGCCTTTCTCCTCATCTCCCTAATGCCCGGCTCTACCTGGACCGTGGCAGCAGAAACGGCCCCGAGCAAATACAAGCAATGGCAGTCACGCTGTCTGCGGCCGTCGACGGGGCGTCTGGAAAATCCATCGAGCTGGTGCAACATACACCGAAGCGCGACAAGGGCCCTCAAACGTCGATCAAGATGGAGAAGCTTGCCCCCACGCCCCCAAATAAGACACAGACAGACCCCCACGGGTACCCCATCAACACCTTTCATACTTCCGCCGCCATGGCTTCTCCATACCTTCCTCTCCAGGCAGACCCAGAGCAGCAGTACTCGCCAGCAGGCCACTCGACTAGCCACCAACACACTTTTGAGCGCATCCAGTTCAAATCGGCGACTGCGAACAACGGCAAGCGGCGCGCGCAGCAACAGTATTACCACCTCATCGTCGAACTCTACGCTGACGTGCGGCGGCCGGGCGAGCAAACTCCCGACTGGGTTAGGGTCGCACAGCGTGTGTCAGCCGCCGTTGTCGTTCGGGGAAGGTCACCAAGCCACTACCAACACGAGGGACCGCACAGTGCTAGCTCGTCGCGCGGCGGGCCTGGGACTGGTAGCGGCGCCGGTGGCCCAGGTCACCAGGCCTTTGGAGCTCCTGGCGCACCGGGCGCAGCCGGCCGCGGTCTTCCCAACAGCCTCGCAATGCTCGGAGGTGCAGGCATGGGCGGAGCTGTCTACCGAGGTAGTCAATACCCCCTTGACCCTAGTCCTGTCGGGAGCCATTCCGTCAGTTCCGCCAGCTCGATCAGCGGAGGCCCCGTCGAGGGCTTAGTTGGCGAACAGGCCTTGCTTGACGAGGACAGTAAAGCCATGGACCACTTCGACGGGTACCAGTATTATCCCAGTCCGCTCGCTGAGGCAGGTCTCCCTGTCGGGCCCAAGCCGGAATATGACCCGTCCAAGAGGGTCAAGGCCGAGTACGGTGAGACTATCCCGTCGTCATGGAGCATGGGCAGCTGTGGCCGCTTCCAAGGTGTCGAGACAAGCCGTGGCTACTATCCTGACCTCAACGCTGGCGCTGGCTACTAGAGGTCGTTCAGGGTCACATCAGTCAACCTGTACGAGGGATGGCACCATCCTCGTCGGCAACACACCAGGAGCCATGCCACGTCCCTCGGCCACGACAAATCTACGGATGTCTCAACGCTTCCACTCTACAACTTTCACTTTTGCAATGAATTTCTTGTTTCGGCATCGCGTCAGCATTTTATCCCCGACGTAAAGCATAATTTTCCAGGCCCCAAAACAGACATCCTACCCCTAGCACGCAGCACTGGCCCGCCTCTTCTCTTGCGAATATTCTGCGGCATTTGCCGGCGTTTTGATGGATGACGAGGCAAGGCCATTTCGGAACCGGCCCCCAAAGCAACGCGGGAATAACGGGTCGAGTATGGTTCCAAGGAAAAGACGGACAGGAGTACTGGTCAAAGAGAGGAAATGGGGGGATTCAACGGCGTCAATATCTTCCAGGACTCTCGGGTTTCCTTTCTGCTGCTCCATACCTACTACCTACTCTCTTACCCCCCAAACCATCACCATCACGAGATGATTGACGACGACGAACTCTTCTTCCTGTCCGCGCAAAACGGTCGGCTGGACCTGCTCGCTCTCTCTATCTCTTCGTGCCTAATATCTTTTTCCTTTCCTGTCGCTCTGGCTTGTGGGATTTCTTTTGTTGGCGGATCGAACCACTATGTTTTTCCTTCTGTTGATGTGCCTCAGATGTTACGACTCACGACCCGCATGCTATGCTACGCTGCTATATGCTTGATCGAGTTTGGTTTCCTTTCTACGTATCGCTGCTTGCTAGCTAGGCTCTTTACCCGTCTCCTCCTTCTTCCCAAAGATGCATGCATCAGCTCACGTCTCTTCGTCTTCTTCTTCTCTCAACTTCTTACCGGAGGAGAGGAAGGGAGGGCGAAGAAGGCAACTGCTTCCTGAGCTTTTATGCTCGGGCTGGTAATGGTGGGAGCGGCATCCATCCGGGTATCCATCCACCATTAGGCGGCGCAACGGGGCGAGATCCAACGTAAAACAAAAAAACACATCACACACACGCACTCAAACACACATCTTGGGGCGATGCTACCTTACTGCTGGGCGACAGCGACGGTGGCGGGGGGCTGGCGGTAGAAGCGGGACAAGGAGCGAGGGGCGCAGCGAGGGCTGGGTGTGAAGGGGAGGGCGGGGGAGGGGAGGCTGGGATGCGTGGTTGGGCGCTCTGGTTCCGCGCTTTGCGTCTAGATTGCCAACCACCACACACCACACACCCATACACACCGTCTGGAGTGGCCGGCACGCATCTCGTCCTTTTTTTTTCTCTCTCTTCTCTTCTTCCCCGCCCTCCTGTCATTTCACACTTGCTTGCTTTTTTTCACTTTTCTTTTTTTCTTTCTTTTCTTTTCTTGACGGGCAAATCATCAAGCAGGAAGGGAGGGCCTAAAGCGATGGCGATGGCGATGACGGCGAAAAGGCAAATCGAGCGCGCGTGGCGACATTCTTGATCTCCCCAACCCTGCCAGTCCACTCACTCACTGCTTATCGCCACCACCATCACAATCACAATCACCACTACTGCCACCACCATCATCATTATTATCATCGCCGCCGCCGCCATCACCGTTGCTAAACCCTAAACCAAAACTACGGCAGTACCGCAAAGTGTATGATTACGAAATCAGCTCTTCTTCGCTTCACTTCACCATCATTCTCTTACCTTACCTACCTATCCACCTATTATTCCCCCATCAACGCCCTGTCTGCTAGGTAGCTTTTTCTTCTTCTTCCTAGTTCTTCTTCTACTTTGCTTTGCTTCGCTTCGCTCCGCTTCGCTTCGCCCGTCCCTCGCCCACCCACTCCTCCCTCCTCCCCTCGCCGTCCACGATCGCAGAACAGGCCGCGTCTTTGGCACGCGCCATGGTGTGACGCGGCTGCGTGTAGGCGGCCCCCGGCGTCGAGCTCTGAGACTTGGTGTTGTTGGTACCGTTGTTGTTGCTGCTGCTGCTGTTGCTGTTGCTGTCCTTCTATAATCAACAATCATATGAGCCTACTTATTTGCTTGCTTGGTTGCGTGCTTGCGTGCCTCGTCTTGCCTTGCCTTGCCTTGACGTGCATGTATGTATGTACGCGCTTGTTCAGGGCATGGAATGGCGCCAGTGACTGTTACTGTGGCTATGACGGTGACGGTGGCAGTGACGGCGACAGTGACAGTGACCTGTTTACCTGCCTTCGTGATCGCACTCAGTGACTCACTTGCACTTGCGCACTCACCCGCCCACGCAGGGAAGAGCAGAACAGAGCAAACATCACTACATCACAGCCGCACAAGCCATTCAGCAGGCAGGCCGCCTAACCACCGCCACCACCACCACCACCACCACCTCCTCCTCCTCCTATCTATCCATCCATCCATCCATCCATCCTACCATCCATTCATTTATTTGCCAACTCAGTCACTCACAGCATCTAACCTCCCCAAACTACACCCACGCCAACCCATCACCCCCACCACACCCGCCGCCACCGCGCGCCACCGCCTCACCCCCTATTTCCATTCCCATAGGCACTAACTACCTAGTTACCTAGGCACGTACCTAGACCACGGATCGCGCGCGGCTACATCCTACCTAGTGCCTACATCATACGTACATACATGTCTACGTACATCGTACATATCTACCTACATATCTACGTACTTACCTAGCACAGCCAGCCACCCAGCGCACCGCGCCGAGGCTTTGCTGCGTGCTTATGTACGCGCCTGAGTGCGTGCGCGGGTGCTTGTTTGCTGCTTGTTTGCGCGCGCGCGCGCGTGTGTGTGTCACTGTCGCTGCTAGGCGTGCGTGGTGCGTGGTGTTGGGTCGGGCTGGGGAGGCGTACGTAGACGTAGGTAGGGCGTAGTAGGTGAAGGGCGGATGATGGTGGGTTATCGGGAAGTAGAGGGAGAGGAGGTTCTAGTCGATAGGGTAGGCAGTTAGTAAGTGAATAAGTAAGCATCCATCAATGCAATGGCAGGTAGCAAGTAGCAAGTAGCAAGTAGCAAACAGCAGCATCAGCATCAGCATCGAAAACCAAGCACACACGCCCATGGCCAATCCATGCCCGAACTCTTGGAAGTTTCTTTCCTCTCCAGCAGTCTCGACTCTCGACCGCGCAAACCAGCAGCCAGCTTGCAGACACCCCTCCCCTGGCCCCCAACTCCCCCACCTCTACCTCTCTACCCCATCCTCCATGCCCAGCCTCAGCCTCACTCGTGCGGCGATGCCTCCGCTCACCCCTACCCACACCCACACCCACACCCACATCCATACCGTGCCACCATCCCCCATCATCCGAACCCTTACCCCAGCTCAGCCCAGCCCCACAACCACCACAACCACAGCAGCGTACCGCACCCGCGGGCCCAGCCAGCCTGCCTGCCTTGCGCACACACACACACGCGCGCGCGCGCGCGCATGCAGCGTCCGCCAGCGTCCCCGCCAGCCAGCACGCACGAAAAAGCAGCAGCAGCAGCAGCATCAGCCGCCACGCTGACAGCGACAACCCTACGCCGTACGTACGCACTCGCGCCCGTGCGACGGCGACGCCACGCGCGTGGGCGTGTGTGTCGTGTGTGTGTGTCTGTGGGTGGGTGGGCGTGTAAGCAAGCAGTGCGTGCGTGCGTGCCTTGCCCTTGCGTCAGACAGACAGACGCGTTGCCTGGGCTGGCCTGGGCTGGCTGGCGAAATGAACCAAAACGAAACGGGTGCGTGCCGTGGGTAGGGGGTAGGGTGAGGGAAGGAGAGGGAAGGAGAGGCGAGGCGAGTTTGCTTGGTTGGTTGGTGCACTAATGGAGATGGGTGATCAGCTACGATGCGGGAGATCGATGGGCATGTGGGGTCTGCTCTGCTCTCTCCGTCTACAAACCTCTCAAGGACCCGTACATACATGTCTTAGCTCTACCTACCAAACTGCCTGGGCATCGTGAAACCCCGGCCATGTAGGCGCACTCGTACTTCATCTCGCCCCTTCGCCACCCTCCTCCCAACGGCCGCGTGCAGCGGTTGGCGGTTGCTGCGACGATTTGTCTCTGTTTTTCTTTTCTCTCTTGATTGATTTTTCCCCATTTCCAAATCCAAGGTCAAACTCAAGTTCGAATCCATTTTTATTTTATTTTTTATTTTCTTTTGATTTTCCCCACTCTACCCCCCTCTCATCTCCCTCCCCTCTTTTCTTCCTTACTCCCTACTTTTTTTTTTTTTTTTTTTTTTTTTTTTTTTTTTTTTTTTTTTTTGTTTGTTTTTCGGCGGTGATATCATGGGGGGGCGTTTTTCCGCAGCAGGCTCTGCTGGCAGGTCCACTCATCTATCGGCCTGACCCGCACGCGCCCGCCCGTACCTACGCCTTGCGCCCAACTTCCGCCGTCGCGCTGTCCAGTCGCTACCTAGCTACTGTACCTACTTTCGCGCCCTCCTCCTCCTCGCCACCCTAGGTCGCTACCCCGTCCCGTCGCTGTCCAAGGAAACCACTCGCCGAGCAGCAGATACCCCACTCCTCACTCCTCCCAACCCCCAATTCCAACCCAAAACCCAACCCAGCCCCAAATCCCACAACCAAAACAATCCAAAACAGACTAAAAATAAAAACAAAATTATCAGAACAAAAAACAACCCACACCTAGTACCCCTCCTCCAATTCCCTCTAGCCCACACACCCCAACCCCAACCCCAGTCGTGACCACAAGGTTCGGCCCGTCCCGCCACTCTAGGCACAGACCTACCGACCGGATCGGCACGCGGGTGACGAGGGGCGGGGCGAGTCAGGTCCACCTCTTCCTACCTTGCGGTGGGTTGGCTAAGGCACGGTAGGGTAGGGTTGGGTTGGGTTGTTGGGGCTGTGCTGGCTGGCTGGCTGGCGGGACGGGACGGGAGGGGGCGGGGGTGGCGAAGGGGGGGTTTGGGGTTGTGATTGTAATTGCGACGGCAACGGCGTGGGTGCGTGGGTGCGTGGGTGAGAGTGGGAAGTGGGGAGCGAGCGAAGGGAGGAGCAAGGGACCTAGGGATACCGCTGGTGGCTGGGTCGGTGAGCAGCGCCCGCGCGCTCGCGACGTTTTGGCGCATCGCTCGCTGTTGCGTTGGTTTTGCTGTTTCTTGGAGCGGTGAGTTTGGGAATACCTGGGTAGGTAGCTAGCTACTGTAGCGAAATGACAAAGACGTCTTGTCTGTGCTTAGGTGTGGATGGGGAGTGGTTGTGGGACCCCCAATGGGATGAGATGGATGGAATGGGCTCTCTTCCACACCTGACGACGTACTCTGTACCTAGATAGGTATACATGTACTGCCATCGCGTTCCCATGAACACAGTCTCATACACACAACGACACAGAAACACGCCCGTCGCATTGCAAGACAAGACGCGAGCACGACGACGCGCACGCGCACATGAGATCGGCTCTCCAACCCCAACCCTCAGCACCACCAAACCAGATCAACTACACACACACGCACGCACGCCACACGAACCAACACAAACCAACACAAAACATCAACCAAAATAATAATAATAATAATAACAATCCTCATTCCCCAGCCCCAGCAGAGAAGACGCGCCGCGAGTCCACCTAGGTTGAGCAGGTGGAGGAGATGCATCGACACGGCGCCGCCGGTCGGAATTCCCAGATCTTTTGCACCAATCACTCGCTCGTGTCCGCCTCTCTACCAACGTACCTACCTACCTACCTAACTAACTAACTACTAGGTACCCAGGCAGGTGCTTGTGTAGAAATAAAAACTAAAATAAAAGTAACAAAAGACCGGGAGCGCCGCGCTCTTACCCACGTTGAATGCGGTCCTGAACGCCATTGCCCGTGTCGTTTCCTTCTTTCCATCGTTCCTTCCTTGTGCTGTACGTGCTGAGTGAGGACAGCACTGCGTCCATGTATGAGCATCCATCCCCTCTCGCGAACATGCCAGCCTCTCCACTACCATACCCCCACCCCACTGTCTCGACAAACCTGCCGCACCACCTAGTTCTTCTTGCCCTGCTTCACAAGCCAGCCCAGCAAATCCACCTTCGTCACAACCGCCACAGCCTTGACACCACCACTCTCCCCCTTCTCCGTGACGACGGCAGCGCTATTCCACTCAAAGAACCTGCTCAGCGCACTCAGCGGCGTATCGCGCGTAATCTCGACAAACTTCCTGCGGCGCCCCTTTGCTTTCTCCTTGTCCTCAGTCAGGACGAGGTTCTCGGCCCCCTTCAGCGCGGCCGAGTAGTCGGTGGGGTCGGTGACGGTCTCGGAGAGCTTGCTAAAGTCGAACATGACGTCGCGGACGGGCGACGCGGCCGTGGCGCGGCCGTTGCTAATGTACGAGAGCAGGTTGCCCAGCGTGACGAGGCCGACGAGGCGCGAGCCCTTGGCCGACGACACGGGCAGCTGGTCGAAGCCCTTGTCGCGCATGGTTTCGATGGCTTCGGCGCACGGCGAGTCCGCCGACACCGTCGTCACCGGCTTTAGCCGCAGCGAGCTGATCGTCGCCCCGCCGTACGCGTCTTTGCTGTTGTTGCTGATGGGCGAGAGCTGTGTCTCGGGCGGCGTGGGCGGGAGGAGGTCGTTGGCGGCGAGCCAGTCGTCGTCGACGAACTGTGGCTGTAGTCAGTATCGGCGCAAGAAATGCTGAGGAAGTAGCGGTACATACCTTGCTCAGGTAGCTTCGGATGCTGTCGGGCAGCACGACGACAACGACGTCGTCCTTCCCAAGCCCCAACTCCTTGACGGCCCTCACCGCAGCAGCCATGGCGCTGCCACTGCTGCCACCGCAAAGAATGCCCTCCTCGGCAATCAGGCGCCGCGCATACTGGAACGACTCGCGGTCGTCCGTCTTGTACCAAGTGTCGACGGCCTTTTGGTCCAAGACGTCAGGGATGAAGTCATAGCCAATGCCCTCGACCTTGTAGGGCTGGTTCGCAAACTCTTCGTTCAGCTGCGACGGCAGCGCCAAAATGCTTCCCTGGGGGTCCGCCGCCACGATCTTGACGTCCTTGCTGTGCTTACGCAAGCCGCGCGCAATGCCCGTGATGGTGCCGCCGGTGCCCGCGCCCGCCACCAGGCACGTCACCTTGCCGTCGGTCTGGCGCCAAATCTCCTCGGCAGTGCCCAGCTCGTGCGCAAGCGGGTTATCCTTGTTGCCATACTGGTCCAGAATGTGGGCGTTGGGGAGCTCCTTCTCTAGCCTCCTGGCGACGCCGATATGGCTCTCCGGGGAATCAAACGCGGCGGCCGTGGGCGTGCGGATGATTTCGGCGTTGAGCGCGCGCAGCACCGCCACCTTCTCCGGGCTCATCTTCTCCGGCAGCGTGATGATGGTGCGGTAGCCCTTGACGGCGCCCACCAGCGCCAGCCCGATGCCCGTGTTCCCGCTCGTCGGCTCAATCAGCGTGTCCCCCGGCTTGATGCGCCCGGAGCGCTCTGCCTCCTCGATCATCCGCAGCGCGATCCGGTCCTTGACGCTGCCGCCTGCGTTGAACATCTCCAGCTTCGCGTACACGGTGCTCTCGATCCCCAGCGACTGCGGGATGCGGTTGAGCCGCACCATCGGCGTGTTGCTGATCTGCTCGATGATCGAGTCGAAGACGACGGGCGGGAGCTTCGGCTGCGTTATCGATGCCATGGTCGTTGCTGTTGGGGGTTCCTTTCCTGTCAGTAGGTTGGTGGTTGTAAGAGTAGGTAAGTTCACAGGAATGGAGAAGGAAAAATAACGTTTAATAAATGCGTCGACGCCGTTATGCCGTCAATACCCGCCTTGATCACGACATTACCAATACGAGCGCCGTCCAGCCCATCGTGCTGCCCGCGACTACTAAAAATCAGCGGAGGTGATGCTATCTCACGCGCTGGTCTGAAGAGACGTCTGTGATCGCCGTAGACCCTGGCTGCTCGTCATGCGTGGAGTAGGGCCCACCCGGCAATTGCCTTCGGCCCTGGTCTGCGGCGCGCCTTTTCTCGAAAATTGCCCTCAAAAGTGAACGGCGCGGACGCCATGAATAAATATTAGAGTAGTTGGATGCGGGGAAGTAAGGTAAAACGCACTAAGAAAGATAAGGCGCGCGGCTGGTCCCTTCAGCCAATCCTTGTGTATCAAGATCCTTTCCCTTCCTTCACGCTGCAGCGTGGAGATAACCAGGAGCATCCAATACTCCGCCTAAACTCAAAAATTATGCAGAAAATAATTTGTACCCCTAATCCAGGCCTTCAGTGTTGCTTGACCGTTTTGCTCCAAGAAGTCTCAAGAGTTCCTTTCAAAGCACCAACCAACTCCAGTGAAAAAGACGAAATACATTACTGCACATTACGCAACCACCCCATCTCAACTCCTCTACATGCAATATCTCTACGCGTATCCTAACTCTCTCCCAATTAACCAGCTTTCACGCCATTCTCCTTCACCCCCTCCACAGCCCCCTTAACAGCCTCTCCCACCTGTTCCATCTTCTCCTGCACAAACCCCACCCCTGGAACATCGCCAAACTCGACTCCGGCGACAAACACCTCGCTCACGCCCTCCAGCGCCGCCACGAACACGCCCAGCCCGCTCGCAATGCAGAAATGGCTGATGCTGGTCCCAATGTCCAGCCACGAGCCCTCGTCGCGCACCATGTAGAAAAAGTGCAACGTCATGACGTCGCCCATGGCAATGACAAGCATGAAGAGCGCGCTAGGTGCGACGCCCAGCCGCCGGTTCAGGATGCCCAGGTTCGCGCTGATGAGCGCAAACGGCACCAGGATCTTGAGCATCAGTAGCGCGCCCTGCGAGAACGGGTCGAACACCGGTAACAGCCGATACACGGCATCGAGACTAAAGCTCGATATCGATGCAATGTTGCCCGTGCTGAAGAAGCCGCTTTGCAGCAGAAAGAGGAAGAAGAGACTGATGCGCGCGTCGGCAAGCGTAAGGGATCGGTACTTCCCCTGTGATAGCGCAGATTGGCGCTCGTTTGCCGCAGCGAGAGCCGGGCTCAAGGGGTTTAGTTCGCTGGTCGCCGGTTGTTGCGGCGACGCAGTGGACGTGGTTTGTTTTTGAGACTTCGTGTATTGATAGATGTGATGCTCGAGGCGCACCCAAGTTATCAGAAGCGTACAGAAGGCAAAGTAGAAAAGGCCCTCGTAGGAAATGGTGAGGATGATGAAGATGGGGGAAAAGGTAAGGAAAATGATGGCAAGACGGTGAATATAGTGGTTGTTAGGCTGTAACCCGTGGAGGAATGGCACCATTAATGAAGCCACTGGCATGTGTTAGCACACGGTTCCCATATATTGTCGCATATTACATACCTAAGACGATCCAGCCGACAATCTGAGTGCCGAGGGGAAGTCCTTGTTTAGTTTGCAAAGAAGTGACGCTGGATTTAGTGACAGCCATCGCGAGAGCGATGAGTCCGAGTTGTACACCCAAGATAGTTCGAGATATCCCGTCCGCTGGTGAAGAGGCTAGTCTGGTATTGGAAGACGTCGACTGCTCCAGTATGCTCTTCTCGTAGACGAGGTACAGAGCGCCGGCCACGAACATCAGAGAACCACCGAAGAGAATCATGTTGATATCCTCCACCTTGATGGCGCTAAGAAGAGTGAAACTGCTCATCATTCCACAAGACAGCCACCAGGTAGCTACAAGCATTGGGTGTTTCTTGATGAAATCCATGCCATAGAAGACGGGCCACAGAGTGGCAAGTAGGTAACAGATCGTGAAAACCTCTCTGTGGAAATAACTTTGCACCTGCCATCTTCATTAATGAATTGCTCCCATAATCAGGCGATCGACTAAATGAAATGGGAAAACTCACAATGGCCTCCAACAACCCCAAAGATGCCGCAAATTTGACTACCAGCAACAGCACATCCTTTGCGGAACCAATATGTCCAAACAAAGCTTCCCTGCCCCTGACAAGTGCTTTTCTACGAGCATACACCTCTTCCCAGAACATGACGGGAAAGATGGCGTAGGCGTAGTACGTCCACCTCGAGCGCTGAATAAACAGCATTGAATAAAGAGCGACCAGGACAGAAGAGAAAAAGATCGCAGATGCAGTCGTACGGGAAGTCTCTGTTGTGCCGTGCAAGACGTGCAGATCAATGACTGTCGTGATGGCGAAGACCATCCATCCCAAGTATCCCGTAGTAACAAGCGCGCGCAAGAAGAGCCAGTCATACGTCTGGAGGTACCTGAGACCTTCCAGCCCCAACTTCATCAGGTTGATGCATTGCCGAATCGCTTCTTCAGCCTTGCCGCTATCAATAGTCTCCGTGATTTTGGCAACGCGGTGCTCAATCGAGTGTTCCGCATCTCCGAAGCCCAAGAACGGCTTGTAGCGCAAGACAGTGGTCTTCTTCTGCTCCTCTTTGATACGATACATTTCGAGGATCTCTTTCGCATTGACGAGCAAGGCCTCCGCCTTGGTCGTTGTATCCGCATTGAGGAACGCCAGCGGCAGCTCGCCAACTGAGTTTGTCGGGAAATCGAGGCCGACAAGATAGGCCATTAGCGCTGCAATATCTGCCTGAGCGACATCGTTCCTCTGGATGTGATCGAGGTTCCAATCCGAGGACAATTCGTCATGGCCAGCAGCAATGCCCTGCGCAACCTTGACCGGCGGCGCCACGCCCGATCCCCATGCAACCAAAGGAGTGCGAGTATTGTCGGGATGACCATCTCCATGACTGCCCCAATCGCTCATGCCGTGGTCCGCTGTGAAGACAAATGCTGTCTTTCCGTCCCCGTAGAAGTCATCGATCAGCTCGGTGATCTCTTGCACGCCCTGGTCTACGACCTTTATGTTGTGTAGGTATTCTTTTGAGTATGGCCTGTAGGCATGACCGGTGGTATCAAGGCCGAGCAAATGCAAGAAAAACACGTTCTTGTCTTGCCGCAGCGCCGCGTTCAACGTTGCATTGCTCTTGGCCTCGCGGAACAACGCCTTCACCCGGTCAAAGACCCAGTAATCCAATTGTACCGCGTCCTGAGTAAAATCCTCCGCCTCAGAGCCGTACATGTCTGCATCCACGCGCCCAGGTACCGCACCCTCCTTAAACATGGCCAGGATGTCAGGGCTGCCCCAGCTCCACGTGTGCCGGCTGCGATTGAAGACGCTGTCGAAGTTGACCGGGTTCAGCTTCCAGCCCGTCGTAACCGCGGAAACATCCTCATACAGGCCAGCAATAAGCGCGACGTGACCGGGGCGAGACTCGGTGGGAACGCGTGTGTGGGAGACGCCGAAGGTGCCATGGTCAAGGACCTTGGAGCGGATGAAGGGCGCGAGCGGGCGCGGCTCTAGAGCTTCCGGAGAGCCTGGGTTTTGGGGCGAAGGGTCGGGAAAGTACTGAAAGGCTTTGTCGGCACGCAGGCCGTCTCCTGTGGCGGTAGCAGTGAGCAAGCCAATTCCGGTCGAACGCGCGCGCGATTTCCTCGGAGTTCTCTATTTGCACATACCGACAAACAAGACCAATCGCTTAGCTGGAGCTTCCTTGGATTCCAGGCGGAACTCGCGCATGCCATTGACAATGGGGCTAACGAAGTAAATGTCAAAGATGGAGTAAATGTACACCAGGTGGAAGATGACGGCGATGGCCAAAAAGGCCGGGCGCCCCAGTCTTGCCATGGCTACTCGCAAAGGAGTGGCACGTCTCTAGGTAGAGACAGTCGATGAGAGGAGAGGGTTGCAGGACTCAGTCGACGCGTGGTGTGCTGCTTATTTTCGGCGAGCACCTGCATGGTCTGGCTTCTAGTCGCCAAGCGCTAACGTCACCCTCCATTGGCCCTCCGGCCGCTAAGAGGCGATCGTTTGGGTCAGGGGCTGGCCAACGGCATGCGCGTCGCGTCGTTAATGTGGACCTCACTTGGTCGTGCATCAATGGATTCAGATTACGTTCTATACAGCTTTCGCCCGTCGAATATGGCTTTCCAAGGCTTTTTCTTTTGGCCTACTCTGCCGCCTCAGCCTCCTCCGCCTCCGCCTCCGCCTCCGCCTGAACCTCCGCTTCGGCCTCGGCCACGGCTGCCTCCGCGGCGCTCTCATCAGCCGCCTCAGGCACCTCCTCATCCACGTCAACTAGCTTGACCGAGCCGCCCTCCTTCTCCAGCTTCAGCCACTCGTCCCATTCCGGGAACATTTCGGCATCGCCCTCCTCCTCTTCGTTCGGTGGCAGTCCTACAATTCTCGAGACCCTGCCCTTGCCGTCCTTCTCGAGGGACGTCTTCCAGCTCTTTACGAGCAATGGTGCCCTGCTGGGCTTGTAGGTCTGCGCGAAGAGCACGGCCTCTGGTATCCGGTTGGTCTTGGTGAGGACGTCAATGCAGCCATCCACATCACCGACTTGCCAGAGACACGAGAAGGCAATGTTGTGCGCGCTGGCCTCCTCCGCCAATCCCGCCAATTGCCGCAAGCCTGCAGCATTCGAGGTGGACGAGTGCAGCAAGAGGAGCGAGCCAAGGTCCTTCGCGTGAGTAAAGCAGTCCTCTGCCAACTTGATGTTCCACGCAGCGAGCGCAGCATCACCGACAGTCTTCCACTTGTGCTCGACGTTGACCTCCTTGGCCAGCTCAAGAGCAACGTCCAGTTTGCCTAAGCTCAGAGACAGATCGAAGCGGTGCTCGGAGTCAGTGGCAACGTCGAGAGCCTCCTCCTTGAAACCCTGTCCCTCCAGGAATCTAGCGATCTTGTTCTTCTGATCTTGAGGGATGTCCTCAAGCATGCTCATCGCCGTCTCAAGCTCACCGCGGAGGACAAGAGTTTGGTACTCGACAACCGACAGTGATAGACCGTACGACATAACGTTCACGTCCTTGTCGCAGATGTAAATGCGGCCATCACGCGGGAGGTATCCAAGGACGTAATGAGGCGCATCGAAGTGAGAAACTGTGTAGACTTGGTCACCAACCAGGTAATTCAGACGGTTGGTGCTGTTGCTGTAGACGAAGCAGTCGCCAACCCATTGACCAGTCCGAACACTGCAAAGAAGCCGTCAGATAATGTTCTGGGATGCAGTATACATCCGATACGCGCTGCATAACTTACCTCTCGTTGATATCCGTGACCACTTCGAAAGCAGCCTCAACGCCGTCCTCGTCGACTTCGCCAGCCTGCAGAGCAGCGACGTAGTTCTCACGAGAGAAGCGGAGAACATAGAACGTGTCTTCGCAAGCCAGCGTAACAAGCTCGCCGTTCTCTGACCAGTAGACCTAAAATTGTTCAACAAAAATGCCCAGCCAATGTATAATGGGGAACAACTTACGTTGATGGGCTCGACTTCAATCCTCCTGACAAGCTGACCGGTTTGCCAGTCAAAGAAGCCAACACCGCCCTGGCCCTTAACACCCAGAAGAACACCACCACTGAGGCCGTCTGCCTGGTAACCGACGTTCAATCCACCGCTGCCGACTTCCTTGAAGTTGCGGAAGATCTTAACGCTAGTGCCGGATTCCCTGATGGCGTAATCCTTGTCGTTCTCCTTGGAGCCCCAGGCAAAATCCAGAGCTGAGCCGAAAGCCTGGTTACGAAGAGCCAAAGCCGTGTAGATGATGTATTCACCATCACCGCAAACAGCGACGAAACGACCGTTGGGAGAGTGGAGCAGCGACTGCGGGTAGATTTCGGTGGAGCCAAGGTCCTTGGATGGCAGGGTGAGGCGCTCGCCATCCTTCAAGGTCTTATCGCCTCCCTTGACAACCGTCGACAGAATTTCTGAGTGCTTCGCCCAGATGATCTTTCCTGATGCGTCCATGCTGACTGCAGGCTCCTCGCGACCCATCTTAACGACAACGGCGCCATCATCAAAACCGACGGCAACACCTTGCCTGCCCCTCTGGTAGCTCACACACCAAGCGCGCTCAAGGCCATAGTTAAGCGACTGCTCCAAGCGGTACGTGTTGGCGTGCCAGATCTTCACCGTTCCGTCTTCCGAACCGGAGATGATAACTGGAAGCTCGGGGTGGTAGACGGCGAAAGAGACGTTGCTTGTGTGTCCCTCGAGCGTCGCGATAAGGGCCTTCGTGGTGTAATCCCACACCTTCACCGTCCGGTCGTCAGAAGTCGTGAGAAGGTATGGCTTGTCGGATTGCGGGTAGTAGTCGACGTGGTTGACACCCTTGGTCTCGTGCGCTTCCAGCGTGAAGTTGGGGGTCGCAGAACCCAGGCTCCAGATCTTGACAGTCCTACGCTTCCATCAAAACATGATTTCGTGCCAGTATCAGCTCTTTCACATACCTGTCAAGACAAGCCGAGGCGAAAGTGTTGGTATCCTTAGGGTTGATGGCAAGGCCCATGACATAGTGAGCGTGGCCCTCAAAAACCTGGACACACTTCCAGCCCCTCTCCCAATCCCACAGCTTGATTGTCTGTTTCACTGTCAGCCCTCCTCGCGGTTCGTAGTTCCCCGGGCACACGCACCATATCATCCGAAGCGGTAAGCACGAAAGGCTGGGTGGGGTGGACACAGATGGCACGAATGTAATCGGGATGCGCCTCGAAGCTGGTAATCTTCTCGGAGGTGTTATAGTTGTAGACTCGCAGCTGGAAGTCATCGGAACCGCAAACGATCCAGTTCTTGCGCGCAATGAAGCGGCCGGCGCGGACGGGGACATCGGTGAGCTCGAAGGTCTTGACGATTGCCTTGGAAAGTGTCAGCGCCATCCATCCCTTCGTGTGGTCTAGCACTTACCTGCGTCTCATAGGACCAGATGTGGCAGTGGCCTTGATACGTTAGCTGCTATCGCTCATGTTCGCCCAATTCTCAGCACATACCACTGTAGAGGGTGGTGAGAACCTGCGGAAGTTAGCTCTATTCACGACTGCTCTGGAGAGGCGTGGCATACCCATGGCTCTGTAGGGTGGAAGTCGATTCCCTTGACACGCTCGCTCCTGGCAAAGAGCTGTCTCTGTACATCAAACCGCAAGTTAGCAACCCTCGCAACGATGTGCCCATTCAATTCCCCGTCAACCGTCGCCATAATGTCCGTCGGAGTGCGTTATGTCCAGTCGCGCTGAGGGTTCATCGTACCTTCACGTCGAGCCGCATCTTGGAGTCTCAGGGTGGTGGGACGCAAGGGGAGGGTATCGGAGACGACGTGGCTTGTGGGAGCCAGTCCAGGAACTGCGTATTGGTGCGCAAGGCAATGCCCGAGGTTGCGGTGGCGGTATCGCTCGGGGAAATGACGGCGAGGTCGAGGACGGCTTGCGAATGTGTGTTGCGTAGCTTGCGCTGGTCGGATGGGATTCCCCAGGGTCGGCCGCAGGACGGGTCTTGGCGCTGGACCAGTGGACACGCAGCGTGAAACCCGCGTCTGCCCAGATTCCCTGCTCCGCCAAAGCCGCTAACCTAGGTCTATCGAATAGTTGTGTCCGCCTCAAGCTTGCAATCATAGAAACACTTTGACGGAAGGTCGACCACATAAAGTTTTCTTTAAACTCTTCTAAAATAGCATCTAGTTTGGTATAAAACAGTCATAGCATCCCCACGAAATAGATGCTTCTCGCCGTTACACAAACATAAATCGGCCACGACAATGATATTCGCTTGGATTGAGTCTCATCATATTCATCACCACAGCACGTCAATCACCAGTCATATCATCAATACATTAAAGTCGCTATGGTTTTCTTCATTCTCCAAATCCCCAACTATTTACTCGACAGCCATCCTCCCCATGCGCTGTCGCCCCTTGGCCCTCCAACAACAAATGCGTGTTGTCTTCAAGCTCGTCATCCCCTTGATAAGAAAAACAAATTCTGGTCTAGCCTTTTGAGAGAAAAGCCGTAGACAGGTATCTAAGAAACGAATAAATCAACGCGAAGTTTAACTATCGAGCTGATGAGAGATGTAAGAAAATATGCATATACTAATGATGGGAAAAAATAGGAAAAAGCAGTGCCGAAAGTTGCGGCGGGCTGGGCAAAGAATGAACCCAGTCGGTCGTTTCTTTCAGGCGGCGGGGCGCGTGTTTGGTATCCCGGCGGGCAACGGACGTGGCTTTGTGCCTCCGTGGCCCGTGGGGAAGCTTGCAGTAGTTCAACTGCTTACCAACCACGCTTTCAAAAATATAGTACAAAGAACGTGACCTCATGTGATAACATTAGGCCGTCGAGAACGCCATCGATGGCCTCAGTGATGGTTTAGTTCCATCCAAGAGAGTTCTCTGCCATGACGGGGGCCGAAATTTGCGCAGTGCGGGCGCTACGGCCGCTTCCGCTACCGCGGCTGTCACGACCACTGAAGCGGCCACCACGACCGCCAGTCATGAATGCACCGCCAGTCATAGTTGCTCCGTAGCCGCTGGCAGTGGGAACGGAACTGCTCCGCTGGTGGCTCGCCTTCTTCTTCTTGTACCTACGGGCAACGAGCAACATCGCGGCACCGTAGGCAGCCACACCACCGATGGTAGCGAAAGCGATACCGACAGCGCTAGCCTTGATGGGAGAGCTTGAGCTGGAGTCGCTCAGGTCGCCGCTGTTTGAATTTGAGCCGGAATCTGAGGAGCCACCGTTGCCAGAGGACGAGCCCGATGATTCATCGGGGTTTTCACCTGCCAGGATGGCAAATGTCGGGTCGACAAAGCTTGTCAAGAAGTTGATGGTGTCACCCGACTGAGCATCCTGGTTATTGTAGAAGGCAGAGTTGCTGTTGAGCAGATCCAAGTGAAGAGTGTCAACGAGGTCGCTAGGGACGTACAACAAAGCAAGAGTTGTAATGTATCCCAACGATGCGGTAGTGTTGTAAGACGTCAGTGCAAACATCTCGACCTTGTCGTGATCAATTCCAAGGCCATCAGCGACCGCAACAGGCATGTAAGTAGTGAGTTGCCAGCCAGTAGTATCAGCGTGTCCAACGACGAAGGGCCAGTTGAAGCCACGCTTGAAACCGATTTGAATCTTAGTGTGGTTCACGGAAGGTTGAGCCATGCCTCCCGGAGGGGCAATGTACTTCGGATAGCTGGTAGGGGTCGCTGATGCCGTAGTCGACGAAGATTGCTCGGTGGTCGCCGGATCGAAAACGATGCTAGTTGCAACGACAATCGTGGTTGCAGAGTCGGTGCCAATGGGTGCAATGGTATGCGGCGGCTGGGTCGTCGTGGTGGGCGCCGGCGAGGTAGTGCTCACTTCCAAGGTGCTACTGGGCTCGGTCGTCGTCGGAATAACGACAGGAACAATCGTGGACGAAGACGACGAGGTGCTGGTCTCCTCTATAGAAGTAGGGATAGGGATAGGAGTAGGAGTAGGAGTGAGTGTAGGCGTGGTCGACGTAACTTCCATGGGCGTCTCAATAGGCTCAGGCGTGGAAAGAGTCGAGGACTCAGTAGGCGTCGCAAGGCTCGAAGTCTCTGGCGTGGTAATCGCCGGCGGGGTGATAGGCGTGGACATAACAACGGAGACATTGGAGCTTGTAGGAACGGCGGTCGACGTCAATGGGGTGGTCAAGCTCGAGCTGGATTCAGTAGACTGAGCACCAGGGGTAGGAAGTGGGGTTGAAGCTGAGCTGGGACTTGAGAGCTGCACTGAAGACGACCCAGTGACAGCTGGCGTCGAGCCGGTGGCCACGGAAGTAGACGCGGGAGTGGAAGCCGACAAGCTGGCGGTGAGGGAGGAAAGGAGGGAGGTGAGATCAAGGCTCGTGGGCGTGGTAAGCGGGATTGGCGTAACCAGCGGGGTGGTAGGAATCAACGGCGTCGACAGAAGAGAAGAAACCAGGGAGTCGATGCCGCCAAGAGGCGTGGAGCTTGGGGTTACCACAGCAGGAGCGCTCGAGCTGGGAGTTGGGATCAAAGGCGTCAAAGTGGGCGTCAAAACGCCGGAAATGATGGAGCTGAGGTCGCTAGTAACGCCGGAAACGATGGAGCCCAACTCACTCGTGAGTGGCAGGCCAAGGCCAGGAGTCGTAGGTGCGGGGGTAACCACGGATCCAGTGGAAACATCGCTGCTGGTGCCAATGACGCTGCTGGGTGTCAAACCGGTAGCACTCACCGAAGCGGGCAGAGATCCAGAGGAAGGAGTAGCGGCAGCCGAGGAAGGAGCAATTCCCGAAGACGTGGTAATAGTAGCGCTCGACGGAATCACCATCGACGAAGGGGTCAAGATGGAGTTGACACTAGTCACCGCGGCAGAGGACATCGAGGACGGCGTCAGGATGGAGTTGGTGCCAGTCGCCGCCGCAGAGGACATTGAGGACGGTGTCAGGATAGAGTTGACATCCGAACTGATGCCAGCTTCAGCGGAGGATAGACCAGAAGCAATCGGAGTGATGATCGGAGTGAGTGCCGACTGCACAGGGGTCAAGGCGGAGTTGACATCAGAGCCGATGGTCGCTGCGGCAGAAGACAAACCAGATGCGATGGGAGTGACCACAGACTGCACCGGAGTCAAAATGGAGTTAACATCAGAGCCGACGCCACTCAGAATAGAGGACAAAGGAGTTGCCAAAGGCGTCACAGCCGATGTCACATCAGAAACCAAGCCACCCAAGAGACCGGGAGTGGACAAGGTAGCAGCAGAGGACGGGGTGACTGGCGCATTGCTGGAGCTTTCAATGACTGTGGACAGACCAACCATGATGCCGGTGCCTGAGGAAGCAGAGCCTGGGGTCACGGGGATAGCACCCAATGAGCTGGTAGGTGTGACGATGGGAACAGCAACGCCGCCAGTGCCAACAGTGGAAGAGGCGGCAGTCGCATCTGCGTCGCTTGTTGTCGCAGCGCTTGATGGGGTAACAACAGGAATCGAGACACCACCCGTCCCAACGATGGACGAAACAGCACCCGTCTCAGATGCAGCTGCGCTCGACGAGATAATGTCCAACGAGCTAGTGGGCGTGACAATTGGAAGGGGGACACCGCCAGTTCCGGCAGCGCTGGACAAAGCGGTGGGAGTGGCGACACTGGACAAAGCGATAGGCGTGCCGGCGCTAGTTGCGACTGAATCTTGCGAGCTGCTGGAAGTAGGCATTACAACTGGAATGGAAACCCCGCCAGTACCCGCCGCACTCGAAACGGCAGCACTGGGAGTGGCAAAGCTTGAGGGAATCGCATCGGTTGAGTCGGTGGCGCTCGGGGTAGGTTGGACAATTGGAATAGAGACACCGCCCGTACCAGTACCAGCAGCGCTGGAGACAGCCAAAATTGGGGTAGCAATGCTCGAAGACGATGCGAACTCATCAGTGGCCGCGCTGCTCGAGGTAGGCAGAACAACTGGGATAGAGACGCCACCAGTACCAACAATACTGGAAGCGGCAGAACCCAACACACTCGTGACGCCGTCAACCGCACTGGACAAATCCGACAACGGAGTGCTAGTTGGAGGCACAATCGGAATCGAAACACCTCCAGTACCGGCAGCGCTAGATACAGCAGCGTTGGGGGTAGCAAAAGAGGAGGCAGCATCGCTTGAAAAGACGGAGTTTGAGGAAGCAGACGGCTCGCTAGCAGAGGAACTAGTGGGCAGAACAACCGGAATTGATACACCAGCAGTACCAGCAGCACTCGACACAGCGGCAATCGGCGTGGCGATGGTTGGTGTAGCGGCGCTTGAAGCGGCAGCAGAATTTGTGGACTCCTCAACAGCAGCGGAAGAGCTGGTTGGCAGAACAACCGGAATGGAAACTCCAGCAGTTCCGGCAGCACTGGATGCGGCAGCATTTGGCGTGACGAAAGAAGAAGCGGCGGCGCTCGAAGATGCAGCAAGCGGCGTATCCACAGATGAGAAGGCAGCGGCGCTTGAGACGGCAGCATTTGGCGTGGCAAAAGACGAGGCAGCGGCACTGGAGACTTCGGTAACCGGCGTAGCGAACGAGGACGCAGCAGCGCTGGAGACTTGAGCAACCGGCGTAGCGAACGAAGACGCGGCAGCGCTGGAGACCTCAGCAACCGGCGTAGCCAGGGACGAGGAAGCAGCAACGCTGGAGGACGCCACAATGCTGGAAGACGCCACAACACTAGAAGACGCCGCAGGAGTAGCGATCTCTGTGCTGGTCAACAAACCGGTCGGCTGGACGAACGGCACCGAAACTCCTCCGGTTCCAACAACAGATTGAGCAGATGAGAAGTCTGGGATCTGCGCAGAGAGCTCCGCAGAGAGCAACGCCGCAGGCGTTGGCACCGAAGGCTGTGCCGAGGTGAACTGCGCCAATGGGTCCACAGGAGTTTGAGCGGAAGACTCTGCGGAGGACTGAACCGCAGACGTCTGCGCAGGAGTCTGAACAGAAGAAGACTGCACAGAAGACGACGGAAGAGCGACCGGCGCAGGGGTGTCAATAACCGAAGACTGCACAGAAGTAGACGGCAGAGAAACCGGCGCAGGAGTCTCAACGGACGAAGTCTTAACCGATGATGAAGGTACAGCGACTGGCGCAGGAGTCTCAACAAATGAGGACTGCACCGACGACGAGGGTACAGGGACTGGCGCAGGAGTCTCGACAGACGAAGATTGAGCCGACGACGAAGGTACAGGGGCCGGCGCAGGGGTCTGAATAGATGAGGACTGAACCGACGACGAAGGTACAAGGACCGGCGTAGAGAGTGCGGTTGAAGAGACAACCTCGATGGTGCTGGTCGCGGCCGACGTCTCTGCGCTTGACGAAATAACCGGCGTCGCCACGCTTGATGTCGCTAAAGATGACGAGGCGACGCTGGACGAATCAACGCTGGATGAAGCAACGGTAGACGAAGGCAAAGCTGGAGTCGCGGGAGTTATAGCTGCTGCCGGCGTGGTCGCCTGGCGCTTGACGGGGAAGTAGTATTTTGGCTTTGCTGCCGCGGGAGCAGCGTCGGCCGTCGCGCCCTGCATAGAGAGGAGGGCCATGCAGGCGGCCCATGTTACCGTAGAGGTTCTCATGATGAATTAATTCCAACAAGCAGGACTTTTCAGGTTCTGTCTGATGGAAGATGCGATGATGATCGCTTGTACTGCGGACAGAGTCAGAGACGACCGTGAAACGCAGGCCGAGGGACAGACTACTGTCAGAAGCTGAAAAACGAGTGTACTTGACGAATCAAGGAAAAGAGTGTCTTCTAGATGTATGAGATCAGTAAGGGTCGTTAATGCGTCGCAGGAGCCGTGCAGTCGGGGGAATTCGCCAGTGGTCCCGCCACGCGTCCAGCCCCCCAATGTTACAAGGGATGACTTACCGAACTGGCAACGCAGTCGCAGTCGCAGAATCAACAGCACAAAGACAAGTTTGAGATTGGCGAGAGATCTCTAGAAGACGCACGATACCATCCTGCGGATACCAGGAGATACGATGATTGATCGAGGAGTGGCTCGGTTTGCGCAAGTCCCTCAGAGCTCAGACGCGCGACCTTTGCGCAAAAACAAAAGTGTTGTCCAATTCTTTAACAATTTCGTCTTTGTCTCGTCGACTCCACAACAATGGCGCAGCGCGAGAAATGGCGTTCAAAAGATTAAAATGGCTGGCGGAGCCCACGCGGTCGAAACCTCCCGACAAAGAATGGCGGACGCAAATTCCAAAAACCCAGCTCTTCACAAGACCCAAATATAGCGGCGGCGCACGTCGACGATGCTACGCAATCCCTTTGTAGGCAGTGCGAAGGGCGCAAAGTCGGCGGGGGCAGCGGGCGGACGGGCGGGCGGAAAGCGGGCCGGGGAGAGAGAGCAGTCGTCCTTGGGATACGAAGGCAATGAATTGCACGGAGCGAAAACGAGCGGTGGTGATTCGCGGGGAATCAATCAATCGGCAGACGGCGAAGGAGCGTGGAGGACGAGCCCTCTCGGAGTTGAGAAAGCACAGCGACGGCGGCGTGGGCACACTGGAAGCAGAGCTTCAGGGCGAAGTCCGGTCGAGGATTGTCGGGATGGATGGGGAAGGGAGTGGAGAAGGCGAGGTTGCGAGCGCGAGGAGGCGTGAGATTGGGGAGGGAAGGCGCCGGCCAGTTGAAAGCGAACTGACCCCCGGTTGGCAACAGGGAAGACAGCGACGGAGCGAAGCCGACGGCGCATAAAACGTGCACAAGTGCCCGTGCCGCGTGCAGCTGAAAATAGGGCAGACCAGCTCGACGGCGGGTGGAGACTGGAGAGAGAGGGGGACTGCCGCTACGACCAAAGCTCTCAAGTTATCGCGGCGAAGGAATGGGCGATCGCTCACACGCTGAGATTTGGGCGCCGTGGGATTATTGCAGTGCAGCACACACACGCCCTCTCACACAAACCTTGCATGCGACTGTCCTCATGCCGCTAGCGCCCTGCTTAGCTGACCAGGGCGAAATGAGATGGTCCTGGCGTAGCGTCTCAGATCACGCTCACGGCCTTCTGTTAATATCGACCCTTTGCTGGCAGCAGCGCCTTCGTCATCTGCACCTGCGATAGGACCCGTCCAGCCAGTGTCGCACATTCATCTCCGCCCAAAGCTGCCCATCAGCCGTTTCCCCGTCTTACGTGGTTAGCCTCATGGATACCGCTCCAGCCACCACACGCTTGCCCGTACCACTTTCGTCGTCCTGTGAGCACACCCTGGCCATCCTCTATTGTATCCTTGCGCCTGCCCGCCGCGCGTCCTCTGACCTTCACGAAAGAAAGTTACAAACACCACCACCGTTCTTAACCACCGTTTACTATATCGTCCCCACCCGCCGCCAATGCCCAGTCCAGACTCCAGCCCCGCCCTGGTCGGGGGTGGGCGCCTAAGGGTTCAGGAGAGAGCTTGAAAAACTCCGTTACCGTCACAACCATAATAATGCCATGACTTATTCATCTGCCGAGATTTCGGGGAGAAAACTTTCATACCAAGCCCTTCCAAACCCAATCCAGACGGCGACTCGGTCGAGAAGCCGCTTTTCCTGACTCCCCCGGCACCCGTTCCGAGTAACCACCTCCGTGTCACGCGTTTCAGGGTCATCTATCTTCCTATCCAGCTCGCCGCCGTCGTTTTCTCGCGCGTTTCATCACGGCGCTTCAGGCTTGGTGCTCGAAAGTATTTGATATACCGCCTCTATTTCTGGCCCCCATCCTTCTCAGATAAAACAGCGCTTCGCCGTGGAGGAGGCTGAGGCTCGCGATAGCACTCTTCTCCTGTGGAGATACGCATTGGTAAACTATCGACGAGTGCCCTCCGGTGCACAATCTACCAGGGAGACCGAGCGTAGCAAAGGGCGGGCGCGGCCGTCAGGACCACGTCTGAGCCCAGAACAGAGCGGTCTATCAACTTCCCAAAGCTCGTTAGGTAGTTCGCGCCTTCGCCAGCAGCTGCGCCTCTCGCCAGGGAATTACGCAGCCAGCGGCGAATAGCCTCAGACACGAAGCGCGTCCCCACGGTCAGGACAGTTGGTGTCCATGTCTTCCCTCCGGATCTCCTCAAGCGGATGCCGAGGGGGAACATCGTTCGATCCCAGCTGGGAACCTTAAGCCTCCTTCTTAGTCAGGGTATCAAGACCGTTAGTCAAGGGTTCGCTCTTCTCGACTATTCTTAGCATCTCTTGTTGCGGTGTTCTCTCCGCCCTGGCGGTTGACACCGCCTCGTTCCACAGTTGGTGTTGAATAGGTATATCTCTCATGCGTTAATGGGATCCGGCATCGATGTGCGTTGATTCGCATCGTTCCCGAAAAGTAAGAACTTAACTTGCAGTCAGTTATTGACAATTTCTGCGGATCGCAAGGCATCCGGGATCGTCACCCAAGCCAATACTCGGTAGATTCAAGGGTTCATCACGGACATCTAAGCATCTCACTGCTTCTCCACACAGAATCTCGACGACAAATGGAATTTTGTGGCGGATTCAAGCCTTTGTGGAGCAGTAAGCTTTGTTCCTTCTCGTTGGTATCAATGTGTTGTTTTTCCGTCATTCAGTGTTTCTCTATATGATGTCGTTTCCTCTCCTCAAGCCTTTGCAACTCGCAAGTCATCATCGCCAGCAAAAGGTGAACGTTGAGTGTCGACTGACCGCGCTTACTGAGCCAGCAAGTTTGAATCATTTTTGAGGCCAATCTCGACTCCTACGACATTGTATGGGTTGATTGACGAGTGACATAGTTCGAGATTCAACCATAGCATGGTCCTCGCTAATCTACGTTTCAGAACAGAGCCGCTCTGACCTCGTCTAGCAGTGTCTTGACACTGCCGAGACAACGACTGAAGGCCACTGCGGTCGATTGGTAACAGGCTCACTCATACTCTTAAGTCTGATAGGGTTTTGGGATCGACTTTTGTTGAAGGCTCTGTCCTGTGTTACCTGCTCGCCAATCTCATAGATGTTTATATGCACAACTTCCAAGAGTACAGCAGATGCGAGCATGCGAGTATCCCGGGAAGTCTCGGCAAATTGAGCATCTCATTGGGCATCAAAAGATATCCGCCGGTGAAGGCAAGTCGGTGACAGTGTCTAGTATTGCGCTGGTCGTCGAGTTCTAGCCCAACGTCGCCCATGCGTAGTGGAAGATTACACGGGTACAGTCAAATCTACCCGGCAAGTATCAAGGCACATGGAAGCAGCTTTTCCATAGGGCTGCCTCAGACTGCAATCTCCGAGCATTCACTCATCCTGCAAACAAATCCCGCCATACGCGTTTCCCCGCATCTGCAAGAACATCAATGGATGCCGTCTACGTGGTCCGCCACGGCTTTCCGAACCGCCTTGGCTCAATAGGTCGTCTTACCCCACTCCAGCAGCATATGTATGGCTGACCACTAAACCCCTCATGCAGCAGCCACCCAGTCCATGCCTGCACGATGCAGAAAAGCAGGCATGCGCGCATGCACGCATGCACCACGCACCAGCAGCAGCAGACCGGCCCACCCCAGCAGAGCCCTCCACCACGCTGACCAAAAAGGTAGGTCCCGCACACCGCCCGACCCAACAACCACCGCGCCCACAGACTGCACACGACGCCTGCGCAGCGCGCGCGCGCGCACTCGTATCCGTCTCGCGGCCTCTCCAGCCCTCGATCCCTTCATACCAGGGCTCTATGTACGTACATCGCGCCGCCCGCTGGCTGAAAGCTTATCCCGCAGGCAGTCGGGAACGCGGGAGCGCGGCGGCCCTTTGGGAGCAGTGTCACTGCTATGTACGTACACATGTACAGCCGCTCTGCTCGGCCGAGTCTCGTGCCGCCTGCCGAGTCACTATCTATGTATTGTTTTGCTGCGTGCTGCTGCTGCTGCTGCTGCTGTTGTTGTAGTACGGCGGGTATTATTCGGCGGCCGGTGGCGCCGCTGTAAGGCTGAGTCTGGCGTTGGCGCTGGCGCTGGGGTGGCTGGGGCCGTCGCGCCAATGTGGGGAGCCGCGGGGTCTGGTCGAGACTCGAGACTACATACTCGAGCACCTACCTACCTTCTCGAGCAGGAGTATTGTTGCTCGAACATCAATGCTGTTCGTCACTGTTGTTGTAGTCGTCGTCGTCGTCACTATTATCTCCATAATCTCCATCACCATCGCCTTCGGCAGTTCTCTCGGCTAGACGACAACAGCCCGTTCTGGTTCGATGCGCAGCTTGGGGAGGGGTCTTTCAATGCGGTGCTATGGTAGCGTCTCCAGAGGCTAGGTACCGGTCCTGCGCGCCGGTTACTTCTCGAACGGACGGACCAAATTGCATAGTGCATACGGGCAAGCCACAATATAGGATAAGAACGCCACATGATTGATTCGGTGCAGCCAGTCGCCGGACTGGGAATTTTAGCATTGGATTCGTATGTAATGTAACTGACATGGCATGATTCTACTTCATATGAGGAGGCACGACGGACCTCTCGTCTAGCCCCCCGGAGACAGATCATAATCGAGCACCATAGCGCGCTCGCAACGTGCGAGGCCTAGCCCTTCTTCCTTATTGCGCCGAACTCCTGCCTGAATGCGTCTCTGTACATTCGGACTCGCGACACTTTTTCGTTCAAGCAAGCGCTTTGGTATGCATACGCGGCATGAAATCATCGGAGAGGCTCCTCTGCTCATCGCACCGGCTCCACGTATTCCTCATCAGCTGGGCTGCTTGTTTCTGTCGAGACGGGTTCGTCATCCCCGTCGATGCTCTCCGTCTCCGGCAGCTTCTCCGGGTCCCTCATCGTGTGTATCGTGCCCTTGCGGCCCATAAAGTCTCCTGTCCTTAGCCCCCGCACCTCATCCGGGTTCACGCCCTTCAGCAAGTCGCCCCGACTCTTCCTCTCCTTGATGTACTCGCGCACAGGACACATGGCCGCATCTCGGCACGCCTCCTTGATGTCGGAGCCGCTCATGCCGGCCGAGACACGGACGAGGTAATCGAGGTCGAAGTTGACGCGGTCGATCTTGGTGTCGCGCAGAATGAGCTTAAAGATGCCGCGGCGCTGGTGCGCTGAGGGCAGAGACACAGGGAATTTCTTGGGCATGCGGCGCAGGATGGCCTCGTCAATGTCCTGGATGCGGTTCGTGGCGCCGAGGATGCAGATGCGCTGCGGTTCGCCGCTGGAGTTGATAGAGGCCAGCCCGTCCCAGTGCGTCATGAACTCGGCCTTGACCATGCCACTGGCTTCGTGCTCGCCGCTGCGCCGCTGGCCCAACACTGCGTCGATCTCGTCGATAAAGACAATAGCCGGTTGCAGTTTGCGCGCGAGCGAGAAGACAGCGTTGACGAGCTTGTTCGAGTCGCCGTACCACTTCTCGGTCAAGGTGGATATGTGGAGGTTTATGAAGCAGGCGCCGCTTTCGTGCGCGAGCGCCTTGGCCAACATTGTCTTACCGCAGCCTGGGGGACCGTAGAGTAGCACACCAGAAGGCGCGGACAGTAGCGACGAGGAGTGGGCGTAGAGGTGGGGTAGCGTAAGCGGGTAGATAACGGATTCCTTAAGTTCTTCGATTATATCGTCGAGGCCACCGATGTCTGGGACGGAACTGTTAGTTGGGCATACTGGCTTGGGCGTCAGACGGTTGGGACTTGCCCTCAAACGTGATGGGTATCTCTTCTGGCGCGACGACCTCCATAGCGATCGTCTGCTCGTATGGGGTAAGCACGAGCTCTTCCCGGTGTAGCCTTTGCCTGATGCTGTTCTGCTCATCATCCTCGTCCTCGTCCTCTTGCCTGGCTAATATGCCGCTCAGCTTCTTCTTCGCGGCGACAGACTTCTGGCGCGCTTCCTCCTTCTGGGCGGCGTCGGGATCTAATCTGGTGAGGAGGTTGCGGACCACAAAATACATCAAAACAGGCTGCGCGCGCGATCAGCACAAATCCGCAGGGCGCGATACGGCCATATCGGGTGACTTACTGCGGCGGTGATCATGAGCAGGTCGCCCAGGTACGAGTACTTCTTCCAAGGGTGTTCGGGCATGATGACTGGTGTGAGAGCGGCGCGCGCCCGTGTCGCAATATGGGTATGTACAGGACGGAGTGAGATGGTGGAGGGTTGCGTGTCCGGCAAAGCGTCGAACGTCAAGCGTGTGGCGTCGACGGTGGCTGAGACGGGTAGCGCGCCAGAAGCTTGCGGGGAGCTTTGCGCGCATCACTCTCAAGCTTCAACTCCGCCCACGCGCAGCCATGACGATCCTCCCGCGATTCGCCAGAGCTTCTCTCACCCGAGCGCTACTCCAGCGCCTGCCCAGCGCGCGGTTCCAGCTGTCGCTGTCGGCGGGTCGCCCGTACGCGACTCAGAGCGGCGTGGGCAATGGTCCCAAAAGCTCTAGCAAGCGCCAAGTCACCTTGGCCAACGACGGGCCACCGCGCTGGACCGACTTGAGCACCGGAGAAAAGGCAGTTAGATCAACCGAGCAGTCCTTCAACTTTCTTCTCGTTGCCGCCGGTATTATCGCGACCGTACGCTGCCCATCCGTCTTCCGGCCGACTGCGCGACGCTGACCACGCGCAGGGCGGCGTCACCTATTTCCTCTACCACGAAGTTTTCTCGCCCGAGGGTGCGACCAACCAGTTTTCCAGGGCTGTGAGCAGAGTTAAGCAAGACGAGAGGTGCGTGGAGCTGCTCGGTGACCCAAAGAAGATCAAGGCGTATGGAGAACCCACGAACAATCGCTGGGCGAGAAACCGGCCCATTTCGTCGAGGGAAGTAAAGGATCGCGTTGGAAATGAGCATCTGTATGTCCACTTCTATGTGGATGGTCCGCTGAACAAAGGCACTGTCAACCTGCACATGATCAGGCGTCCTAGCGAGCGCGAATACGACTATCAGACTCTAAGCGTCGACATTAAAGGTATGTACGACTTAGCAATTCTATAGGCAGCCGTGATGCTAAGAACCTTCTAGGTCACAGCCGCATCTACCTTGAGAATGCCGACGCCCGACCCGGGGCGACCAAAAAGGGCTTTAGGCTGTTCGGTGCTCGTTGGTGGTAGATGAGCAATCAAGCTGTTTGGCATTTCCGGGCTTTGCTGAGGCCATTCGGGGTCATGCAGATGTCGATTCATTACCCGAAGCCCAGAGAATTTGCCGTTCTCAACATAACCCGGGTTCGAGCATCGACAATAACCTGCGGAGTGCCTCGCCCAACAGGCTTTGAGAAGCGTATGCGGTAGACCGGTTGTGGGTAGACCAGCTGGAAAGGTCTCCTCCGCTGCTATCGAGGAACTCCATTCCATATGTTTTGGAATTCTGCGGCTTATGCGAAAGCAGCAGCGATATGGCGCTGAGCATTGCTTGGCTATTTTGATACCACCAGCAATGCCGAGAGAGATGCATTTGCTACTTAGCGCTAGTGAAAATAGTAAGTATCCATCCAATGTTGAGACACATTGGCTGCAGATCAGAAGCGAAATGCTTGAGTAAAGTTCATAGTGACTGCCTGCATTAACGTCCGTCACCGTCAAACGAGATAACGATGCATGTATGGAGAGCAAACGAAATCCGGTTAAGATGTTTGTACATATGTATACGCCTTTACTTATGTCCAGGACCCAGGTATGTAGCTAGGCAGGGAGTATTCCTTAGGGATTGTTTGTATCCTTCCCTAGAGTATCTCGCTAGATGATGAATCTCGCTCAACGATGACGGACGTTATTGACGTCACATACATACCCTTTACAGTAATCCTCTTCAACTTCCAACGTAGCAAACTTGTTTACATGCCGAATCCGGCAATATACTTTATATTCAAGCATTCTTATTGGATCACCTGGGTTTCGATAATACATCGGCCCGGTCTAGACCCTTTGCTTTCGGGTTTTCGGATGCTCTGGTTACCTCGGTGACCGGTAAGTGAATTTGGGTTTGGTTGGAAAGAGCTAACACGGTAATTCTTTGACAGTCTATAGAGGTTGGAAAACATGTATCTATACTAGACGCTCTTCATTGGTTCGGGTTGGTAAAGGTTGGTGCTTTCAGCTCGCCATATCGTATTCCCTGCCTCAGAATTGTTCAGAGGTAGGTACAAGCTTAGCCGGGGATTTTGTGGGTAACGGTACCTAATTGTTACACCACGCACGAGGTAGTATAATATACCCAGTATTTTAGTCGGCTGTTTCTTTGACAGCCGTGGAATTTATGGGGCGAAGATCGTTTATACTAAACGAGTGATGGATATTGTTAGTGAATGCAGCTATCTATCCAAGCCAGTGGATAACCATTCCGTGCTGCATTTCATTGGTTCGTGTTTTGACGTCCCTCCTTGGCTTATATTCCGTATAGCGTCAGATGCGACTTCCTTCGTATTCCGGATGAGGTTCGCTTGGCATGGACTGCTTGACCCAGCACCCTCCTTCCTCACTCCATCGACGGAGCTTCAGCTACGGTGAAGTACAAGCTACATTCTTGCAACACTGTTTCCAAAAACATCTTTCTTCTCTGACATTAATACCATCGGCCTTGTGTAGTCCGGCTCCCCTTCTTCCTACAACTCTCTCCTCTCTCCTCTCACTATTCCTATGTCCAACCCACTCCTCTTTTTGATGTACGTTGTTTCGCTTGGCCTGGCCTCTGCTCGCATCCGCCACAACAGTCGCAAAAAGCTCCAGGATACGTCATATTCAGATCAATGTCATGGCCAGCACCACCATCACCATCACCATCACCATCACGACCGACAGTCGCGTCACCGCAGAGATCACACGACCGACAGCCTATAATAAAAACCACTCGCTCAAACCCGATAATGGAGTTTCGATCAATGCATGTTGGATGCCCCTCGCAGCTGGATGGACCCAAAGAAGGCTCGAGCGACCACTCGTCTCCTGAACGAGGGGGAAATTACAGAAACTGCCAAACAAGTTATCCACAGTTTCATCCTTTCCAGAAAGATAAAACCCCCACTTCTGACGTTAACCCTGGCATACTCCGACGTTCAACTACAGACACGCGAAAGAGTTCGCTTGTATCCATAGGATCTTCTGGCAAACCAGGCCTGTACAGACAAAGTTCCAGTTTTGACTCCATTTCCTCCCAACGCACAGCTGGTGGCTCGTCCATAAGTAGTATCGCTCAAAAAGTGAAAAGAGGAGGACCAGACATGAGACTGTTGAATACCAGTATGAACGACTTAGCGGAGAAATTCTTCAGTAAGGAGAAACGAAAAAGCTTGCCGAGTCTGGTCAGAAAAAGGCAAACCTACGAGGAACCAGAGAAAGAGGATGGTAAAGAATCTCCCGAACCGCAGGCTCCAGTACAGCCACCGAAAGCTCCTTCTCCTCGGAAAACACCACGGCTTAGGCTGGGAAAGCTCTCCAGAAAATCGAGTTCAGAACGCCATACACCCGAAGCACCATCGGAGAAGTCGTCTGTCATTCATCATAAACCGGCTGTCCCTGTTAACGGAGAGAATTCAAAAAGTGAGAGTTTCCAGTCTAGCCCAAACACACCGACACCAACAGATGATTCCAAGAATGAGCAATCGAAGGAAAGAATACCCCATCTTTCAAGAGAAAGCAGCGTTGGCGGCAACGACCCACCTCTTGCAAAAAAGATCCCCCGGCCTGGTTTTGGGCGCTGGGTGTCTAGCAACAGCAATGTCTTGCACTTTTCCAAGCCGAATGTGCATAACCTTCCAGTGAGCGGCACTCCACCAGTAATTGACACCGGAATGCCGCCAACGCCGCCGATTTCGCCTCCTAGGACTCCGGGAGCGCACATCAAGCACTCTTTCAAAAGATGGCTTTGGCCAGGACCGTTGAGCGCCAGCGATGCTCAAAGCATTCGACAGGTCATTCAAACCCCCGAGATGCCCGCGATAAGCCCGATGCATCCAATGACTCCATGTATGCCGCCGGTCAGCCTTTATGGTCGATAATCTTCAACTGGAGGGCCTGATTGCTGATAACTCGGGTTTTAGTATCGCCCTTTTCTTCAAGTTTGCACCGCCGACGCCGCGCCCGCCATGATCCAAGCAATGCTACCCCATCTAGCGATGCTTTGACGCTCAAACCCACCGTTGCCAGTGTTCCTGCGACCTCTCTGCAGCGGGGAGACTCTTATTTCACTGCGAAGTCCCCTGTCCAGGAAACACCGGATCATCGCAACCCGGACTATATTGGAACGGCAATGGGCGGACGGTCACCACTGCACACCCCACCAGCACGCACACCTGTGAATCGTGATCGCGACGACTATTTCCAGGAGGGCAACGACAAGCGGCGATTGCAGAAAGATCAGCGGCAGGCGCCAGAAAGGTCACCGCTGAAGCGGAGCTCGGACTTTAGGTCACCAAGCGCCAATAGGTCGTCGCCTCTTGGAAGCCCAGAGGAATCGCCAAAGGGTGAGATAATAGAATTCCCGGAATCTGTTGGAAATGTCTAACGTGGCAGCAGTTACTACGAATGGCACCGGTAGACGCAAGTTCAAGGATAGCAGCAGTGGTCATTGGGACAGCGATGCAATCCTCATGTCGCAGGATCACATAACTCGCAGTCTGACGGTGAACAAAGCCGATGACAGGATCATACCGTCGATGGCGCCAGCGGCTCCAGTGCTGCGGGAGCGCGATTGGTTCCGCACCCGCATGGACCAGATTCTGCAGGACGACACAGGCGGTGGCGACGTTGACTTTGAGTGGGACGTCCCAGAGCACCTCCCGGGCAGCCCGTTGTGCCCGCTCAGCCCGAAGCACAAAAGTGGGGGGAAGGGAATCTGCGTGTACCACGGTCGGCGGAAGACGAAGAGGGCGGAGAATTTGAATCTGTAGGCGGTGGGAGGGATTGTGCGGAGAAGGGAAAGGGGTAGTGGTCATGGCTATAAGGAGGACGTGCATGTCTTCCGGTCAGAGGTCGCTCGGCGCACCCCTATGATGGAGACTTGACAGGTCAGCGAGACAGGTGGACACGGACATTGGGCGGCTGGCGACACGGCGGGCGTCGCATGGAGATATATGTAGCGGCGCGTGGAAGCAGGCAGGCGGCAAGGCGCGAGAGAAAGCAGCATGGTGCAGGCAACACAAGGTGACAATGTTTCAAAAACAAGTCGAGTGGCTGGACGGGAGTGGCTCCTGCGGCGGCACCAGCAAGCGTGGGTCGAGTGCGGGAGGACGAGGTGCCCAGTCCCGACGACGGCTCGAGTGCCCCGTCATTGCGTCGCTCATCCGGGTGCGCAGAACAGATGGAGTGCGAACTTTAACTCATTGTCGTGCTGCCCGACCTGCTTCTTCACTTCTCGCCCTCACTTCACTCTCTTTTCTCTGTCCGTGTTGCCCAATTACTGCGCTTGCTGCCTCAGCCCAGCCACCCGTTGCCCGTATTAACCCCCAACAGCCATCGCAAATTTCCTACCCGACTCACTTCTACCAACCTCCCCTCCGGCACACTAACCGCTAAGGTAACTGCCAGCCCCGGCTCCCGCGTCATAAAGCCGCACGCTCCTCCCTCGCGCATTGCTCCGCTCCCTCTTGCTTTCCCCTCCAGAATGTTCTTCAAGCGTCGCAGTCGCGCCAACAGCTACCTTGACGACTCCGCCGACTCCCCCTCTGCCAAATCCTACGCGGCTGCCGACGCAAAGTACGACCGCCCGCCCTCGTCGCGCCACGACTCCGCCCCTCACATCAACACCCACAACGAGCCCGTCACTGTCACCGTCGAAAAGGATCCCGCCATGTATTCGCGCCAAACCGCCCCCCAGGAAACTTATGCCGTCGGGCCACGCCCCATGACGGGCGGAGGCCACAACGCCATGCCGCCAATGGAAATGCACAGCGGCATGGGCGACGCCGGCGCCGGCATGGGTGGTGGCATGGGCGGCATGGGCGGCATGGGCATGGGAATGGGCGGCGGTGGTGTGGACCTCTTGACCAGAGCATTCAACGAAGCTGTCCGGCCCTACATGGAGAAGATCGATCACCTGGAGAGCCAAATCGTGGAGCTGAATGCCTGGATCGAGAGTTTGGAGCAGCAGCGTGCCGAGGTGCATTCGTGGATTGACAAGAGAGGACTCCGGCCTGGTAAGCTCGCTCCCTCAATCTTCTCACCGACCCGACCTGGGTTGGTATCAATCCCATTGCTAACTGCTTCTCAGACGTTCCTCCCAGCATCGCAAAGCACATGGACAGCTCCGACCCCACGGCTGCGCAAACTCTCAACGCGCAGCTTGACCGCAAGATCACCATCGTCAACTTCGACCTGCACCGGCTGCAAGACGATCTGAACGACAGCATCAGCGCCTCACACTTTGCCAGCGCCATGGCCAAGTTCCTGCCGGACATCGCGCGGCTGGCCGCCCTGCCAGCAGGCCCGCGTTTCGCGTTCGACCTGATCCTCAAGCTCGGCGGCAACCTAAACAGCCACGGCGGGCTGGATGCCGGCGACGAGGAGGACATCGCCGCGCGACGTGACTTCTACGGACGGCTAGACATGGCCATGGTGGAGGTGGTGCGGCGACGTTTCGAGGAGCGCGAAGAGTGGCATGTGCAACGCGAGATTAAGCGCATCGAGAAGACGGCCGCGTACCTGCGGAACTACGGCATCGACCCCTACTTCCCTGCGACTCTGGATCTGATGGAGCGTAAACTGGTGAACGGCGGCGGCGCTGGCGCCCCCGCCCCCGCCGGCGGCAGTCCGCCCAGGTACACGTAAGCCACTCTATCAACTTCTCTTCGACCACCACCACCACCACCACCACCACCACCACCACGAAGCCAAAACAGCGCGTCGGCGGCGGCAGCGGCGGTGGCCCGCATTGGGAGAAGAGAGGAGGCAACGACTCGCGATACCCTGCGCGACGACACCGTGCGCACGCTACGCCCGCACGCGGCAACAGCACCATCTCTCTTTTTTCTTTTTAACTCTTCTCTGTCAGCATTCGGGACCACGTTGTGTTAACACACGGCTTTACAGATCACGAGATGATCTGATGGACTGACTCATCGCGAGCGTGGACGAGCGGGTGCGCGATTCGAAGCGCGCGCTTTCCGGAGCGCGCCTCAGCATCAGCGGTATCAGCGGCGAGGGTGAGAGCAGCGTGGCCGGCCCCTCGGCTCGGTCGTCGCGCAGCTTGCTCGATGTTTGGGTCGACAGCTGCGAGGACATCGAGGCGAGGCATCTGGTGCAGGAGACGATTGGCGAGGTGCCCGATATCAAGACTGAGGACGAGTGAGTAGGAGACATTGGTGTGTGTGTGTGTGTGTCTACACATCCCTTCCTTCTCGATCCTCTTCTTCCTTCCTCCTCGTCATTGCGGCTTCGGTGCGATTTTTTTGCGCTTTTCAGCTTCTGCATTGCTTCCTGCGTCTGGCTCTCCGTTCTGGCCAGTTATGCGCTTCTTGCCTTTTGGCTGCTGCTACTGCTGCTGCTGCATCGCGTCCATCGCTCTCCACGCGTGGCCTTGATGTGTGCGTCTGCGTTTTGCTTTTTTGGCTTTGCTCTGCTTTGCTTTCCTCTTTGCTCTAGCGACGACAAACAACAACAACAACAACAACAACAACAACAGAAAAGGTTCACATACCACGATTACCAAACACCACCACACAAAAACCACAACCAAGCAAACACTCAACTGTTGCGACGGCCTCCATCTCCAAATTTTCGACTTCTTCGGATTTTCCAAGGCCTTTTCTTTTCCGCATACAACCAACCAAGATTCCCCCAATTTCCGGTTTTTCAGGCCTCGAAAGCGCGAAACCAAAAACGGCCGCCTAATCATCTCTTAACTATTTCCCCTTCTTTCTTCTTCATCCGGCTCCTCTCTTCTCGGCGCGCCCATTACACACATACTTACGCACATGGATACACAACACACACAATCCGACGATCTCGACTAAAAAAGAACCTGGGACGCACCGGGCCGGAACGGAACGGAACGGAACGAAAACTCGCACGAATTTCCTTTTTTCTATGCGGATGGCGACCTGGCTTGGCGCGCTGCTGCTTGATCGATCCGAAGCAGTTGCAGCTGCAGCTGCAGCGGGCAGAGGTAGCCGGGCGGGCGGGGAACGTCATCTTTGTCATCATTGGGGACGGCCCGGCGATCGATAGCAATAGCAACGAACAAACGCGGCCACGGGCCTGTGGACTTCAGCGTAGTTTGGGCCTCTTTCGTCGCGGCTGCTGCCGCTGCATTGCGTTGCATTGCATTGCTGCTCTTTTCGTTTTCCTTTTACTTTTGCCTTTTCTTTTCCTACCCAGCAACATCAGAACTCTACTAGTTTGGCCTTTTTCTTCTCTTTTCCTCTTTCCTCGCAGGCATTTCCTCATCTTTTCCTGTCTTTGATTTGGTTCGGTTCGGCCATGGTTGATTGATTGACTTGATTTGATTGATTGAGAACGATACGATACCACTGGGTTTGCCTGCTTGACGACGCTGCGATGCGATGGGTTGCGGATGCGAGGCGAGGAGTGGCTGCCGGCCGCGCGGCACTACTGTCCGGCACAGCAGTTGGGGCAATGGCAACGATGCCGGCGACGATAGGGGGCGGTAGGGGGTGGTTGCGCTGAACGACGGGGGGGTGATGGGGGTTGCTGATGATGATGATGACGACGATGATAATGGATGCGTAGATGTGGGTAATTCGAATAAACTGACTTTTGATGACTGGACTGTCTGATGGAGGCCAGGTGGCTTGTTTACGGTGGTATGTGATTGATGTGTGTATGTTTATCTATCTATGTACCTAATGTGGGTGGGTGGGTTTATGTGTGTTTTAGACTTTGAACTTTGCTTGTTTTCGGCACGCGGAGAGCGCATTCCTGCGCTGTGCTATGTACCTCATACGGCGCCATCATCCATCATCATCAACTCAACCCCCTCCCCTAATTATTTACTATTCCGCGCAAAAGACCCTTCACCACCACCTACAGCTCCTCCTCGCCCTCGTCATCGCCCCCCCACCCCCTCACGAACCTCACCCCCCTCTCATCCCTTACGACCTGCATCAACGCCCCCAACGGCCCCAAACAAGCACTCACATTACCAATTCCCCGCTCCAGCGCCTCCAACCGGCCCTCGACCTCCTTCCCGCACAGCCGCACCTCGCCAAACCGCGAAGCGCCGTACAGCGCGCGCAGCAGCGCGGCGACTTCGGCGCCCCCCGCGGCCACTGCCCCGGCCACGGCCTGCGTCGTCGCGCCCTGCGCCGCGGCGAGGTGGTCCCGCAGCCGGGCCGCGCGGTCCTGTGACCCGGTCGCCAGAGCCCGCGATGCGGCGGCCCGCGTCAGTGGGCGTGGCGCTGGGTGCAGGATGCTGCTGAGATCGAGGTCGAGGCGGCGGAGCAGGTGCGTCGTCGCGGGCGTGAGGTGCGCGGGGGGTTGCTGCGCCGAGGGGCCGAGGCCGCCGCGCGAGGAAGTCGGGCGTGGGGGAGGGGGGAGTGGGCGGAGAGTGCTGAAGAGGGCGGCGCTTTCTTGGAGGGCGAATTGGTGGGCGTGCGTGTCGTGGGCGTGGGTGCTGAGGTGGGAGAGGCGGAGGGTTAGGTGCTCGAGAGTTGAGAGGATCTGTGGCGAGGGTTCGTGTTAGTTAGGTTACGGGTAGTTGAGATGAGAGCGTGGGTTCGTTAGGGAGGACGACTCACGTAGTCGAGCCATCGGCTCTGGAGCCGTTTCTGCTGGGTTTGCGATTGCTCGCGCAGGAGCAGGATGGGCTGGCGGTGCTCCTGCTCGATGCCCATCTGCGCGACGGACGAAATCTCCGCGTGCAGCGTCTCGAGCTCTTCCTTGAGGGCGTCCTTTTCCGCGAGCGCCTCTTCCTCGGGCCTTTCTGGCGCGTCGGCGGGCGAGAACCCGGTCAGGCTCTCCCAGAACACCGCGTCGACGTGGGTCTGCACCTCGGCGGCGCGCAAGGCCACGAGCGAGACGCACCAGCCGTCGACGACCGCGGCATTCTTCTGCTCAGAGCCCGACGCCTCGAGCTTCGGCGCCAGCTTGGCCAGAGCGGCCAGCATGCGGTCATCGGAAGCCAGGCGGTCGTTGGCAGTGGCGACGAGCGTCGTCGCTGTCGCTTTGGTCTGTTTCTGGGCAGCCGTGACGCGCTCGGTGATGGCGTCTGAGAGGCCCTCGACGGCAAAGTCGAGCTGGGCCTTTTCCTGGGCGGTCTTGCGGTGACGCTCGTCGTGCCTGCGCTGGAGAGCGGAGTCAGGCTCGACGTGCTGTGCTTTCAGCGCCAGCAGAGCATCCTTCTGCACTTCGAGTGCCTTGGCCTGCTGGTCAATGGCAGCGGTGGAGGCTTCGAGAGCGTCAATGGCGGCCTGCAGCTCATGGTCGTGGATGGGCTCTGTTTCCGACGGGTCCTTGAGATCGCGCAGACTGGGGCCATTGGGGCGCAACGTCTGATACCTGGCGTAGGTGAGTAAAGCACTTTTTGCAAAAGCAGACGGAGCTCACAGTTGCAGCTCCTCGCTGGTCAGCAGGGTGTTGGGTTGCAGGTATTCCTGCACCCAGCCAACGGCTTCGTCATGTGTTTTGACCGAGTCAAAAGCCCATTGAACGTCGTCGCGGGTTAGAGGGATGCGCCGATCACGCAGAGCAGCGAGAAGGGTCAATAAAGCGAGGGAATCGGGCATATTTTTGTTGTTTGTTTACTCTTCTCTTCTCTCGGTGAAGGAGGGTTCGTCGCATGGAGTTGGGCTCGGCCTCGGCATCGGCCTTCCACCGCCGCCGCGTCACGTCTTCCGTCGACCCCCGCAATATCACTCAGAATTGAACACTGCAACAGCATTATGATCTTCAAAAAAGCAATCATTACTTTTATATACCCCTACCCATCGTTAAATCGTCATGCAATGCCAGAGCCTGGAGCTCGAGCAAGCTTTCAATGCCCAGTCCGTCCGCCAAACCATCAGAAGATAAAATCCCCAGTGAAAAAAGCAAGTAGCCAGCAAAGATGGATGGAAAAAAGAAAATGAAATATGAAAAGACCGCAACATTGATCTTTGGGTCCAATGCCCAATGTCCGAAGCCTGGTTAGTTGATGTCGAGTTCGAAGAAGTCGTGGGGGATGCTTTAAGATGTTGTGACGCTGCAGTATGAAGGAAGAAAATGCAGCCTGAGATGCCGATTGCTAGTGGTTGTAGCTTTGATGGATGCCAGACCTAATTGGTGATTAGTGTTGGTGAGTAAGGAATGCCGGCTGCAGAAATGCCATCCAATATGGCCATGTATCCTGAAGATTAGATCATCAGACGGCCCAGCGTCCCTCCTTCGCCGCCCACTTCCGCTGCTCTTTGACCATCATATCATAGAACTTCTCATCCCAGTTCACACATTCGAGATACTCCCACCACAACCTCAGTCCCGGCGGGTCACCCGAATCCTCCGACTCAAACGCATCCAACAGCTTCTCCTTGGTCAGCTTCGCGACCAGGATGCGCGCCTCCTCGTCCCACTCCGTCAGTTCACGCACATGCGCGCCAATCTCCTGGCGCAGAACTGCCTCTTCCGCGCCTACCGCGTTCGGCAATGGGCCCTCGTAGGCCGGAGGCGTGCAGAAGTGCCGCTTTAGCGCGTCAGTGACCCATCCTGGGCGCGCAACGTTCGCCAGCTCTTCCGCCCAGTACATCCTCACGTGCCGCGGCACGCGCTCCACCATGCGGTCGTAATCGAGCTTGTCGGAGAAGCGGCACTGACTGTACATGCCAAAGTAGATCAGGTTGTTGGAAGGCGCACCGCTGCTGCTGTCCTTGGCCTTGGCCACGTGCTGGATAAAGAGTGGTACGTTCTCGTACGCATGGCTGCCAACTTTACCGTCGACATCCTCTGGGTTCTCCGGGTTGAAGAAGGCGGTCAGCTTGACGCCATGCGTTCCCGGCTTGGAAGGCAAGTACGGCTCCGTTGCAGCGTCCAGTATGTAGAAGCTGCGGCTGGGGAGGATGCAGTGGCCCTCCTTGGCCTTGACGTAGTGAAATCCGGGCGACCATTGCCTACCGCCAAAAAACCTCTTAATAAAAGTATGGTCGAAACCTACCATTGCAGAGGGACCAGGGACCTTCGACAGCTCGCTTGCTGGGAGAGCACGAAGACCACGGATACCGAGAGGTTGCCATGAGGGCTCCTTCTTCATGAGCGCATGGGCGGGATCTTCAGTAGTTGGCAATGGCTTATCAGGCGTCGACTCCTCTTCCGGTTCGGGGCCTGGCGTAGCCACTACAGACTCATTAGGAGCAAGGGCCTTGTGAACAGTTCCATTTGTCTGTCCGTTGGTCTGAGAAGTGAGACCAGCGGCAGCTCTCCTGGTCTCGATGCTTTCGTCTTGCTCGCCACCAAGTGTTCCATCATGTCCATTTGAAGTGGAAGCATGAACAAAAGAGCCAGATGCCGTCCCAGCTTTCTGAGGAACCTCGTCTGTTTGAGTTGATTGTTCACATGTCTGGGCCGGATCAAGAGGCCTAACGCTGGAATTGACATGGTCTGGAGTTTGTGGTGGTGTGGGTTGGCAGGCATTCTCTGGTGCCGACTGTTCGATCTGTAGTTGCTGGGAACTCGAAGTGAGAGGTTGAAGGCTGTTAGAGTCCTCCAAACGACGGTGGATAGCATCAGCGCCGTAGTTGTCGACCGTGTCGGGGGCTTGGAAGGGTCCAACAGTGACAGTCCAACCGCCTTTCTTCAGCATATCGATCTCCCGGCGCATCTGAATGAGCTCATTGGAAAACAAGTTCTCAAGATTCGCTAGTTGTGCCCTAAGCATATGGATCTCTGCGTTGTCATCGGATTGCTCCATCGGCTGCTCGTTCCGAGGGACCAAGGCAGTGCTTGTGGTAGAGTGAGGCATGCTGTTTGGGTTGAAGTTGCCGGCTGTCGGGTTCAGGTTACCCATGTGAGACCTGCCACCAGGTCTGCTTTGATGCGGGGGGATGCCGTTGTGCTGTCTGGAATAAAAGTCAGAGCGCTTCATCATTGTTGTAGCAGCAGGAGGGGCTTGCTGTGGTGCTGTTTGAAAGAGAACGTTAGTTGTAAACTTGTTGGAGTAATTGGTACTCTTGTAGGCGAAGACGACATACTTCAACTGCCTGCTAAGGTGAGAGCAGTTCGACTTCTGCACAAGATGTACTGCCGACGATGAAGTAAGTAGGGCGGTTGGATGAGGCTACTCGTGAAACATGAGGCAATAAGCAAGTAGCAGACGCCAGTCCTCTGGGGCCGTCAAGGTAGGTGTGTTTGACTGAAAGAGCCGATGATGTGATAGCAAACAGCAATGTCTTAATGATGGGATGAAAGCTTGCTCGAAGGTGGAAGATGTTTTGGAGTGGAGGAATCTCAAGAGCTAGAAGGTATAAATAGCTGAAGACTGCTGCTTCAGGGTCCTACTTCTTTTGTCGGGTAGAATAAGGTTCAAGTAGCGGTAAGCATTCTATTGTGTGTTTTGGAAGGAGCCAAAACGTAGGTACTGTTGTGAAAGTGGGCAGGAACAATTGAGGTAGATGGTTGCCGCAGGAGACCAGGGTGATGGTCGTTTGCCCTGGGCTTGTATCATCAGGTCCATAAGAGCTAACCATTTGTGACATTGACCTTAACGGACTTGCACGCGAGATGAAAACGAGAGATAGGAAAGCCTTGACAGCCAGCAGAAGACGGGAGCAGACCATAGGAAACAGCGGAAGAAGACTACAGCTAACTGAGAAGAAACACAGCTTGTGACGGAGACAACAAGGAGAGATACATGCAGATCAGTCAAAGCATTCATTGGAATGAAGGTCATGTCCAGCGTGGCACCGCCGATGCATGATGACGGAAATCCCCAGGGGCACCGCCTTGTGGTGGTGGTGGTGGTGGTGGTTGCGGTGGCACGAGCGGGACAAAGTCAGGTCATCAGTCTCATGACTCGCGGGTGACGGATGGACCCTTGGGATGACGCTGCTTCTCTGGATTCTGACCGGCTCGGTGCAACTGGGATTGAGATTGCGTCCACCCACAAATCCTCATGAACCACGCCAACGCCTAGCGCGCGAGGAGTCTCTTCATTCCCTTCGCCGTCCAGTCCCGCGCCTCCCACGACCATGCCGCCTCCCAAGTCTCGCAACCCAGACCAGGACTCGCGCTCCGATGCTTCAGTGACAAAGGATAAGCACACGGCCTCGAATCACTCTCACCACGCGCGAGGTCGCCGCAACGGCGGTCCAACCCTCACCAATGGCAGCCACCTGAAGGAGGTGGTGTCGGCCTCGGGCGACGCTCATGGTTCTGTTGGCCGCAACGGCGCCCACTACGGTCAAATGGCGTCAACTGGAGGGGTGCGTTTTCTCCGCTCCGCAACCCCCTTCTGAGGAGCCGTAGATTGCTGACACCTTATCCTTCAACGCCTGCAGTTGGCCTGGAACAAAGAGGATCTCACTCTTCTTCAAGGCTATCGTAACGCATACCGCCTCGATTGCCCCTCGGCCTTCAAAAATCCCATGGCCCACGCGATACTTGGCAGGGGCATTGGGAAATACTCTCCCACAATGACGCGCAAGAGAAACGAGCGCAGAGTCTCCAAGGATCAACTAGCTATGGCAGTTCGCAAGAACTTCAACGCGCTTGCTGTGAGCGAGTCCGAGGTCATTGTGGACCTAATGTACAAAGTCAAGACACAAGGTAAACACCCCTCGGCCCAATGCTTCGCCGCAACCTGCCCGTCGGACATGACGACTGATTGCAAGTAGACAAAACATTTAGAATGCGTTTCGCGCCTCCCCGGACCCGTTGATGTCCGCCTCCGATCTCGCAGAACCCCCGCACGAACGCACAACCGACTTTCTCATAAGGACAGTATAGACGTCCACGACCCAGCATTACGCATCATCGGAGTTACGCATTCATGGAGTTATCTGGTATTATTTATATTGGCATTGTGGCGTTTTTGGCAGAGGATACCCTTCGAGGCTCAAGGAGCAAGAACCTTTCTTGGATTACGGAGTACTCTCATACCACAGCGACAACCTATTGGCATCGCGCTTCCGTTGGGCATATTCGGTCTAAGTTCAGCTATTAGACACGGAGATGGTGAGAAAGGAAGGATTGAGCAAGGATATGGAGGGTGTGGCAGTAGGATTTACACCCAGTGACACAGCGCGGGCGTGCGCGTGTCTCCTAATAAGACCAGAACCGAGGAAAATGAATTATGTTTCTACCTTGGACCAGTTCGTGCGCCCATGAATCTGACGCGATGCTCGGTGACAGCTGTGGAGCTCGCCGCACAAGGGCATGCGCGTCAGACCCGAGGCAAACCCGTGCGGAGAGTTAGGTACCTCCAGCTCTTCATTAACTAAGCAATCCGGCACCCCGCACGCGTTGAATCACGATCAGCTCCCAAAAGTTCTGGAGGACCATTGGTGGCAGTGTTTGCGGTGTTTTCCTCAAGTCCGAGACGCGCTGCCGCGAATTTCGTCACTTCCCGCGCCTAGCGTCAGCGACGCGGAGAGCTTCCAGAATAATCCCCCGAGGGTCTTGGCACTTTTCGTCCAATGAATGAAGTTCGACTAACTTTTGACAATTCTTCTATCACCCTCCACTCCTCTCGACAACGTCCGCTCCTGTATTATATCTCTAATTGACGCTGTTTATTGAAGCACAAAATGAGCCTCGCTGCTCCCAGAATAGCTGTCAAGACAGCGTTGCCCGTGCGCATTGTGAACTCTTCCGCGCCTGCTACACGACGCTTTTCCACGGCAGCACCCGCGCAATCATGGAGCAAGTCGAAACTGCATCACGGCCGGGCAAGCTCTGGTGGCGCACAGAAAAGGGTAAGTTTCCCATGCACCCGTCGCTAGCTTATCGCTAACACTTATTTCCAGCCATTCCATGCCACCGCCACTGTTCTCGCCAAGGACCTGTATGCCACGCTCGGAGTCGGCAAGAGCGCCTCTCAGTCGGAAATTAAAAAGGCCTACTATGGTCTGGCGAAAAAATATCACCCAGACACCAACAAAGACCCCGGAGCCAAGGACAAGTTCGCCGAAGCACAATCCGCCTACGAAACGCTCTCCGACGCTGAAAAGAGGAAGGCCTACGATACATATGGCGATGCTGCCTTTGGTGGCGCCGGTGCTGGAGGTTTCCACCCTGGCGCTGGAGGTCCCGGTGGCAACCCGTTCGCCGGCTTTGGCGGCTTTGGCGGAGGTGGGTTTAGCGGAAGCGCCGGCGGCTTCGGAGCAGGAGATTTCAACTTTGAAGATCTTTTCGGAGCATTTACTGGTGGTGGGCGGCGGGGTGGACGTGGCGGGCGGGGCCGGAGTCCGTTTGAACAGGAAATCTTGGTGGGAGACAACATTGAGGTCCAGACGCACATCAGCTTCATGGATGCGGCGAAAGGAACGCAAAAAGACGTCTTCGTCAATCCGCTTGTTCAATGTAAATCTTGCACAGGCAGTGGATTGAAGAAGGGAACCAAAAAGTCCGAATGCGGCGTTTGCGGCGGCACGGGTCAAACGGTCATTAGCATGAGCGGATTCAAGCTCGCAACGCCATGCGGAGCATGCGGTGGCGCAGGTGTTTCGGTGCCGAGGGGCTCGGAGTGCAACAGCTGTCACGGAGAGGGAGCCGTGAGGGAGAAGAGAACGATTACGGTGGACATTCCGGGCGGTGTTGAGGAGGGCATGAGGCTAAAAGTCCCCGGAGCAGGCGACGCTCCTGCAACGGGCGGAGCAACTACCTCGAACCCTCGTTCGCAAAACGGAGATCTCTACGTCTTCATCCGAGTGGCAGCGGATCCCAAGTTCCAGCGCCACGGCTCGGACATTCTATTCACGGCAAGTGTTCCTCTGACCACCGCTGTACTGGGCGGTGAAATTCAGATCCCCACGTTGGATGGAGACGTCAAGGTCAGGGTCCCGACCGGAACGGGCACGGGCGACAAGATCACGCTGGGCGGCATGGGCATGAGGAAGCTGAACAGCCGCCGGGGCAACAACGGCGACCTGCAGGTTGAGTTCAAGGTCGCGATGCCCAAGTATCTAAACGCCAACCAGCGCACGATCCTGGAGATGCTGGCCGACGAGATGGGCGACAAGACGGCCAAGAGGGTCATGAACGTTGGGGAGATGAGCAAGGAGCCCGGCACGTTTGCGAACGAGGCGGAGAGGGAGAAGCACAAGAACGAGGGATTCCTGAGGTCGGCGTGGCACAACCTGACGGGCCAGCACAAGCACATTGACGGCGAGGAGGCGCCGGGCAGCAAGAAGAACGAGGACGATGAGTCAAAGAAGTCTTCTGGGTCGGGTTGAGGGCGCAGTGTATCAAGTATGATATAAAGTGCGGTCTGGCGTTAGCGCGGAGTAGCATTTGGAGCAGGCATATCCACGGGCGTTTAAGTCAAAAATTAGATATGTAGTGTACTGTATCTATGTAGACCATCTCTTCTCAGAACACCCGGGCCCTATCGGGCCGCAAGCGCTGGAGGTCCGAGTGCCAGTGTATGACGCTGCGTGAATGGGCCGAGTTGGGTGGAGTGTGATTGCTTGGGCGCGTAGTCGCTGAACACCTCCGCCACTGCTTCGCCCGACTTGCCGCCCGTCTGGAGCTGTCCGACCCCACACGCCGCCGCCAGGCTCCCGCAAAGATATATACATACATACTTGCCGCCCTTCCGCCCTCTTTCCATGCAGTTTCGCGGCCGAGAGCTGCTTCTGTGCCCGTGAACCCGCCCGGAGAGGCAGCATCGTCGCCTTACACCAACGCGTACGCCATCTCGCATACCCGCCCACCTGGGCCTGCATGAACATTCTCTAGCACCTGTACCCACTGCCCACCATGACGGTCCTTGCGCCCATGCTCTCCTGTCCGCTCAAGCAGACCAACGAGATCGACTGGATCACCCCGCTGAAGCAGTACATCCGCCAAACCTACGGCGACGACCCCGAACGCTATTCCGAAGAATGCGCCACGCTCAATCGCCTGCGCCAGGACATGCGCGGGGCCGGAAAAGATAGCGCGGCCGGCCGAGACCTGCTGTATAGATATTATGGCCAGTTGGAGCTGCTAGACCTCCGCTTTCCCGTCGACGAGAACCACATTAAGATCTCTTTTACTTGGTACGCCCACCGCACCACCATCTCACCATTTACGCTGACATTGCACTACCCCAGGTTTGACGCTTTCACGCATAAGCCTACTTCCCAATACTCGCTCGCATACGAGAAAGCATCCATCATCTTCAACATTTCCGCCGTCCTGTCCTGTCATGCCGCGCACCAGAACCGCCATGAAGATACCGGCCTCAAGACCGCCTACCACTCCTTCCAAGCCTCTGCCGGCATGTTCACCTATATCAACGAGAACTTCCTGCATGCGCCGTCCACGGACCTGAGCCGAGATACGGTAAAGACCCTCATTGCGATCATGCTGGCACAGGGCCAGGAAGTATTTTTGGAAAAGCAGGTTGAAGATGGCAAGAAAGTGGGTTTGTTGGCCAAGTTGGCAAGTCAAGCAGCCTATTTGTACTGGCAGGCAGCAGAAGGCGTGCAGGACAACGTGACTAAAGGTGTGTTTGAAAAGGTTTGGCTGCTGGTAACCCAGATCAAAGCGAGCTACATGGGCTCTCTTGCGCAATATTACCAGGCTATGGCGGACAATGATGCCAATTCTCACGGCGTTTCCATTTGCAGATTGCAGGTGGCAGAAACCCAGGCACGGGAAGCGAATCGGATCGCGAATTCGTTCCCTAATAACGTGCCAGCGGGTTCAAACTTAAGCTCGGAGACTGGTGGTATCCTGACGGACATGACCAGGCGACACTTGGTCAACTGTCAGGAGCGGATAACGGAGTTCACGAAGGACAATGATTTTATCTACCATCAGCCGGTTCCTGCCGAGGCATCACTGGCTTCGATACCAAAACTTCCTGCCGCAAAAGCTATTCCCGTCAGCGAACTTTACCAGGGGCAGGACATTCAGAGAATCATAGGCCCGGATATTTTCCAGAAAATTGTGCCTATTTCGGTCACCGAACAGGCCAGTTTGTACGACGAGGAAAAAGCAAAGTTGATCAGGGCCGAGGCCGAGAGGGTCGACATTGCAAATGACGAAATGGCGGCGAGCCTGGACTATCTGAAGCTGCCAGAAAGCCTCAACGTTTTGAAGGGTGGAATGGATCAAGAAATGACTGTAGATGATGAATTCACCAAGTGGTGCCAGGAGCTTGCCGGTCACGCCCCCTTCACCAGAGCTTTCGACCAGCTTAGTGCTGAGAAACAGGCCATTGGAACCATTTTGGACGGCAGCATGAAGCAGCTCGACATGGAGGAGAGCGTGTGCGAGAAGATGCGTTCGAAGTACGGCGTGGAGTGGACACAACAACCCAGCTCAAGATCAACGGCCACCCTCCGAAGCGACATCCGGAGCTACCGTAACGCAATCGATGAGGCCGGCATTAGTGATGCAGCACTTTACAGCACGTTTAGGCAGCACGAATCGGACTTTGACGAGATGCGGTCCGCTGGCGAAACAGATGAGGCAGATGTCCTATACCAGCGTGCGATGATCAAGGCGGGAGCGGCTCGCAGTAAGGGAAAGGGCTTTGGTAGTCCCTCGACTGGAGAAGGTAATCTTCTTGATGATGACTTTGAGGGCGGTCCGAGTGTAGCGGAGCAGATTGCGGCTGTGGAAGACCTGCTGAGGAAGTTGAACCTCATTAAGCGGGAGCGGCAACAGGTTTTGAAGGACCTCAAAGAGAAGGTGAGACCGCTATGACTTTCGGACACACCATAAGCTGACTCTGGGGCAGATCCACAACGATGATATCTCCAACGTTCTCATTCTCAACAAAAAGCAAATCTCCAACCAGGAGAACCAGCTCTTCAAAGCTGAACTTGAGAAATTCAGGCCTCACCAGAATCGACTCCTTCAAGCGAACCATAAGCAAACCTCGCTCATGAAAGAGCTCACCCGAACCTACGGTGATCTGTTGCAAGACAAGAGAGTACGATCAGAGCAAAGCAAATACGAAGCCTTTTCGAGACAGAGAAGCTCTGTAATGAACAAATACCGAAAAATCTATCAGGCCTTCAATGACTTGATATCCGGCTTGATGAGGGCTCAAGCCTTCTACTCCGACATGAAAGAGACTGTCGAGAGCTTACAGGCGAACGTGGAAACCTTTGTCAACAACCGGCGCTCCGAGGGTGGTCAGTTACTCAACTCAATTGAGAACAAGAAAACTTCCGGTAGCAACGACCAGGCGGACCGCGAGCGCGAACGCATGCAGCAACTCATGGAGCGCATGTCCGTCGAGCCGTCTCGCAATTCCCCCGTCTCGCAACAACCGCCTTCGCGCCCTCCGCCGCTGCAATCAACCCCGTCCTACCAGACAATCCAGTCCTCCTACAACCCCGCCGCCTCCCCTCCCATCACGCCCCGATACCCCGGCATCAGCAGCCCTCCCGCCACCTACGGCATGCAATCCCCACCGACAATGCAGCCGCAGTACCCCCAAACGCTCAGCAACGGGGGAGGTTACCAACCGGCCCTGCCACCGCGGCGCGAGTCCGGCTACGCCAGCGGCGGCAGTGGCAGTGTGGGCGCGTACAACCCGAACGCGTACGGTCCCGTCAGCCCACCCGCGACACAGCAATTCTTCAGTCCGCCACCGGCCCAGGGGCAGTGGGGCGCTCCGCCCCAACAGCAAACGCAGCAGCAGTACGGCTTGCCGCCGGGATATATACCGCCGCCACCGCCGCCCGGCCCGCCTCCGAGCCAGAATATCGATTACTCGGGCTTGACGGGCGGCGGAGCAGGATATCCGAGCGGGCCGGGTGGGTATGCGCATCACCAGCGGCAGAGCCAGCAGCAGCAGAGCCAAGCGGATCCGTGGGCTGGGCTGAGCGCGTGGAAATAAGGCTGGTGGTTTGCGTTGTCTAGTTATTGTTTCTTGGTGGTTCTGCGCGCAAATAACGCGGCTTCTGTCTGTGCACCGGCCTGAGGCTTCTTAGATATGTTTGCTGTTCGCCCCTCCTTGGTCTCAACTCAACTTCTTCGACTTCGACTTCTTCCTCTGTCTGCTTCCCCTTCTTCACTTGTGGTTAATGGTGCGAGTGTGGCATGGCTAAGATGAGGCTCGTGGGCTGTGAGGCAGCGCAGCGCAGCGGCTGAACACATGGATTGGAGCTCACAACTCTGTCTTTACCTGTGTGTATGTGTGAGCTTCTTTCTGTGGTTCTGAGGCCTGGGCGTGGCTGAGCGCGACAGGATACGTGAATAGCGAGAAAAGCAAAATGAGCAATAAATTTGATAGCGCGCAAGCTTGGAATTGGTTCATTCATGTTCCCTTATGTATCGTGTTTTTGCTGTCGGCGCTGTTTCCGTTGGTTGCGGATAATTGCCGTCAGGCAGGATTCCACTCACTATTTTCAGTTCAAAGTAGAAGCATAACCAACCTTGAAAAGGCTTGTGCGCGAGACGTGCTTTAGGAGTGGGAGTATGAGCATCGGAAGACCGCGGCTGTTTTGCCCACTCTGTTCACTACATGACCCGCCTCATGATACATCGTCTGTATCTTTGAGACTCTTTCAACCTTTCATCTTCGTATAAGGACGATCCCACAGCGCCTACTTTATAGCAAGTAAACACATATATATGGTGGCCAAAAAGGTTGGTCGAATTATCTGGAACCAAGTCCAAATCATGCAGCCTTGTAGCTAAATAAAATCAGATTGTCTGTAGCAAATAGTGGCGTCGTATACAAGTTATCCTTACTTTCCTCTTAAGACGGCGGGTCTCCGAACAAATACATATGGCATTTTCCCTCCAGTACAATGTTACTCCAAAGCCCCCACAGGCCCGTTTTGCTCCACTTCAAACCGCTCAAAAACATAAACAATAGACAAGACGTGGGTATGGATTGCTCTATTGTCAGAAACCGAACCAATCAACCCCACCCCTTCGCCTTGATCTCTCTTTCTTTCCATCTTTTTAAACATACATCTTCACCCTACACATACCTCAATCTTCCCACTACCGTCCCGCTTAAACGCAAAGAGCAGCCACGATGATACAATGCATACAAAAAAACAGTAGGTAATCAAATGACGAAAAAAAAAAAAAAAAATATAACCCATCCATAGCTTTTTCGTTGCCCCAAACAATGCAAGCGAGCGCCAAAACACGCCATGCCACCAACCGCCGCCGCCATCACCGCTATATTGTCACCAGCGCTACTCCAACTGTCTCTCTCCTCCTCATCACTCCCGTCCCGTCTTCTTCGAGCCATCCACCACTAAGCAGCCCGCTGCTACCAACCAACAATTATTGCCCCCTATGTGTCATGCACACCGCTGCCCATTACCTCAGCACCAGCTCAATGCGTGCCCTAAGCTCCTGTGCAATCTCAACCCACTCCACATCCAACGCGCCACTCTGCTCAACCGCACGCAGTAGTTCCTGCACGCTGGCCGCATTCTCAACCTCACCAAACGCAAAGCCGCCCACGCGCGTGCTCTCGTCGTACCATCTCTCAACAACGTAGACGATGTCGTTGGCGATCCACCTCCGTTGCCTTTGGGCAAATGGCGCTTCGTTGTTGTAGAAGGTCGCCTCGAGACTTGCCACGATGGACTCGTGCGGGACGCCGAGGTCTAGGAACACGTCGACAACCCACGAGGATGGGCCTACTCCGCGCTGATGGGTGATGGCGTACCTCTCAAGGAGGGGAAGAACCATGGCGATGTTGAAGGTTGTGTCTGAGAGTCCCAGCTTGGGGCCGAGGGAACGGACTGTCTCGGCGACCATCTCCCAAGGTGTGTTGTTGTTCTCTACGGCCCTGTCATGGGTCTGCTCCAACAGGTTCTGCCAGGTTGCCCGGATATCGGCAGGGTTGCGGTAGTCGGCGCACTGGTAAATTTGCAGCGAGATGTCGTAGTAGCCGGCTTGGTCGCAGAAGTTGTTGTAGAGATCATCCAAGGGCAAAATTTGGCCATTGAGCTCCTTGAGAACTTGCGGTCTGCGTTCTCCGGTAAGACGAGGCTCCGACATCATACGGAGCAGGATATCGCTCTGAATGTTTGCCAGGTCCAGAAGATCGCTTGCTTCGCGCAGCAACTCTTGTCTCGATTGACGCGTGTTGTGCACCTCGGCCAAGCCGTTGAACCTTGTTGAAGCGTTTGACTTTGCTTGACTGAGGTATTGTATGCGCTTGTCGAGGGTCAAGTCAAAACCACTCTTGGCAAGCTGTAGCTGCACTGTCGCAGCCTCGAAGAAGCTGTGATGGTGAGCATAATATCTCCACAAAAGATCAGCGTGTCCGGCCTCCTCGACAGACTTGCGCTGCAGATAGCTTATGACGTAAGGGGAATCTATGTCCAGGAGACGATCGCTCTGGCCACGCTCCAGGTACCAATCGTAAAGGTTGGTTTGGAAAACTTCATCGTCCGAATCGTTAATCTCCTGGTAAGCCTCGTTCCGCCGCTTCGCGCTGGCAGTGAGTTGGCCATCTACCATCTCAGGCTCAGTTTGCGAAGAAGCATCAACGGCCTCAACTATATCGTGAACTAGGTTGTAACACGCCTTGCGGGCATCAAAAGCCTCTTTCCGGGGGTCCTGTAGAGCTATTAGCGACACTCAGCCTACGAACTCAGCTTTACATACAATTTCTGGAGACCCATCTCTAATGTATGCCAAGGCACGGTTGCCGCGGTCCAATTGTTGGGCGACCTTCAAAGCAAGACGAATTGCACCTGAATTCATTAGCCAATAACCTTTGCAAAGCAACGTTCAACTTACCGGCAAAGAAGGCCATGCCGATATATTGTTGGATGGCTCCTTGTAGATGCTCCATGGACAAACTTCCTGCCACTCTCTGAAAGAGGCTCAAGCTGTCATTGAGCAAAGCACGTCCAACGTCGGAGTTTGCCCCGGCTTCCGAGGCCTTCTTGAGCTTCTCCTGTGCCTTGAAAATTACGACGTCGTCAGCACTACAGAAACTGCCGCATCGTCTGCGGAGAGCTTCCGCAACGGTATCGACGTTTGAGCCCTTGTCAATGCTGCGGTTCACTATAGCTTTCACAAGTTCTTTAGCCAGATCCTTCCCCGTTGCGGCGCAAAACAGGCCTTCGAAGGTGAGTTCGCGAACTCTTTGCCTGATGGTGTCTGGCAGAGCTACAACAATCTCATCAACCCCTTCGTCAAAAAGCACAAGAACAAAAGATATGCCTTCGATGATGTTGACAAGGAGCTTGACAAGCGAGTTGAGAGCGCGATGCTCGCCCTGCAGGGCTATTTCTTCTTGTTGGGTAGCTACACGGCCCAGGGCTTCAGGGCCAGCCAGCCCATCAATAAAAGTCTTGTTTGTGTCAAGGAACTCTTGTAGGTGGGTAAGATCTCTTTGAACGCCCTGGAGCTTAGCCAGATCAACAGTAGGAGTGACTGTAAACCCACCCGCGGGAGTCACACCTTCCTGGAGGACTGGCGCCTTCCAAAGAGAGCGTACAACACGGGATATGTACAGAGCGATACCCTCGTGACGGGGCGAAGGACGAACATTGTCGATTTGAGCCGTGTTGTTGTCCAGCTGTAAGTTCTCGTTGTAAGTGGGTTTACCGCCATACTCGATGAAAGCCTTCCGGGCGAAGTCTAGAGTAGCTTGATCGTTCAATCTGGCGACGCGGTAATCAGCGGTGACATCTGTGGCTTGGCCGCAAGCCACCGCAAGAGCAGTCGCACACATTTCGCTACGGCCATAGACACGCACAAAATGCTTCATTTCCGCTTCCAATCCTTCGTCGCCGCCTCCGTGTTGGATCGCTGAAGCAAGAACATCGACCAGCCTGCGGCGTCGGATGGTGTGGACTCCAGTATTAGTCAAAATAGCAAACTCGCTCGTGGGTTTGTCGAACTGCACGGCCAATTCGTTACCGAATCCAAGAGGCGACGTAGTGGCTCCAAAGGCTTCTGTAACCTGTCCGATATCCTGCATGCTGCTGCCCAGGGGTATCCATTGGCCGAGTTCAGCATACCTGGGAAGCTGAGCCGGTTCATAGGGCCGCGAGATCCGTCCCGCGTCTGGTGCAGACAAGAAGAGCTTCTCCGAAGCACCATCTGCTTGAACAAAGTATAGAAAATATCCAGGTGCAAAGCGGGCGCTTTTTGTGGTGAGAGAAAGGACCGGAGAGTTGGTATCGATCGCGGGCATGCCTTGGTAGCCACCCACGACCGAATTTTGTGGAACGAGGGTAGTATTGCCAGGGGGAAACTTGACATGGTGCACTTGCATGCTCGTTGGGGCGCTCGCGATGTCAGTGGAGTAAAAGCCGCCGGAAGTGGCGCTCAGGAAAATGCGGCATCCAGTGTTGGTGACCGCCACAAGGTTCAGACGGGCCGCTTCCGTGGCAGAGATGGGGCTGATTGCAACAATGGCAGTCTTAGAACTAATCAGTTCCGAACGAGCAACCATATGACCAATCTGCGTCCTAAGAGTTGCAAAACTCCTGGTAATAACGCAGTCTAAGGAAGCCATGTTCTTCATGTGGAACACACGGATGGTCGACAGGTTCGAGAGCGTGTACAACAGATTCCGACTGTCATCGACCACCATTTGCATGACGTTCTCCTTTGATGCGCTCTGCACAAGGTTGAGGACTGGGTTAAGCAACGAGGTGCCGAAGGACAGCTTCAGCTGGTTGTTGACGTAGTTGACCATAGACCTGCTGACATGATTGACCGTGCCGCATTTGCTGCCGAACCACTTCTCTTCTTGCTGATACGTGAGCTCGTAAACGTCGTCTGTGACTTCTCCGCCAAAGAAGATCCTTCCCGTCTTCGCGGAGCCTTCAATGCACTTGACACCAATGCCCCTAACCGACGCTTGCATTCGGGTTTGGTACAAGGAGACGGTGGAGATGCCATCGGCGTTCTTTTCATGGGCCACACCGATGAGGATCATGTCAGTGGTCGTGGCGACGACCAGCAGATGCGTGATTGCGTCAATGAAAACCTTTGCCCTGGGCTTGACTAGCCTAACGGCTGTGATGATGTTCGGCTGGTCCTCGAAACCGATCAACTCTGGATTGGGATGGGTATAGTCCCACAGGTACAGCGCATTGTCTATGACCACCCAGGCATGATTTATCTCGGCAAATAGCCCCATCATTGTTGCGACCTGTGCCTCATTGTACTGCTCAAATATCCGGTCCGGGATGTTGTATGTCTTGACCTGCTGGAAGGGGGCCAGCGCGGCGTTTGCGGGAATGTCACAGTCGGAGGAGATGCCCTCTAGAGGGGGGTGGTCAACGCGACTCAGCGCAAGAAAAGACGCACAACTTACGCGTGATGTAGCTATCGAGGTCAGGGTATCTGGCCTCCTGGGCCAATGTCTGATTGATTGTCCGCGCCGCCCTCTCGACCGGGCTGAGGGTCTGCGCCTGGATGGGCGCGGCGGCGACAACACTCTGCTGAGGCTGCACCGGGGCAGTGGGTTGCGCTGTGGGCGCACGAAACACGGGCTGCGCTGGACGGGTTCCGGGGCCAGGCGTCATCATGAACGCGCCCGGGAGCGGGCGCTGCGGCGTCGCGGGAAACATGGTGGGCTTTGTTCCGCGTCTAGAGGGCAAGTGGTCGAGGTGATGCGAGAAGCAGGAGCAATGCCTCGGCGACCGACATGCAGACACGGACAAGGCGAGATGATGGAGCGGAGAGGCAGGCGACGGGTGGGCGGGTTGTTGGTGCCAGCCAGCCGGTTGTCCTGGAGGTGAGGTCGCAAGGTTCGCGATGGAGGTTCGCGATGGAAAAGCTACAAGCTGTTGGCGCGTCAAATGATCGACGCCCGCATCACCATCACGCAGAGCTCCCGCGCGCTTTTTCCTCTTTCTTTTTTTTTTTCCCTTTTTTCCACTTCCCAGCCACGCCAATTGCTCCATCCGGCACGTACGTATCCATCCATTGTCCGCCCCAAGCCCGCCGTCGTCATTGCTGACCTGGCCCTTTCAGACTCATTCTCTCGTTTCACCATGCTCGCCTCACCCTTCCGTCAGCCCGCCCGCGTGTGCCTCCGCTGCCTGCGCACCTCACGCGCCTTCCTCCGCTTCTCCAGCACCGATGGCGCCAGCTCCTCTCCCATCCTGTCCCGCCTGCGTGAAGACATGAAGGCCGCCATGCGCTCCAAGGACCAGCCCACGCTCGCCGTCGTCCGTAGTCTTCTTGCCGACATCACCAACCTCTCCAAGACCGCATCTCCCATTGCCAACGACACCCACCTGCGCTCCTTGCTTCTCAAGAAGACTTCGCAGGCCCAGGCTGCCGCGCAGGAGTTCCGCGATGCCAAGCGCGAGGACTTGGCTACCAAGGAGGATACCAGCGTGCAGATCATGCAGCGGTATGTGGGCGAAATCGAGGAAGTTGGTGGCCTGGTCAAGGACGAGGAAGTGAAGGAAGTGGTTCAGAAGACGCTGGCTGAGTGGAGCGAGGGCAAGAAGGATTTTGGAAGCGTGATGAAGAAGGTCTTGGGCGTGTTCGAAGGCAAGATGGTGGAAAAGAGTGATGTTGCAAAGGCCGTGAAAGACGCCCTGGCATCTAAGTAAACCAAGATACTGCGGCAAGCCAGTTGTTCTTGGTGCTCAAGGGTGCTTGCATCCTCGTCTACACATGATTTTAACCTTTGTTCGCCAAGTTACGTTGTGGATAACTGCATACACGAACGTTGACCTCTAGCCTACACCGGTCGGAGGGGTAGATGTTGTTACAGTACACATGTCCCTCGTGAGCGACACATCCAACCATGAGCGCAGCCTCTAGACCTGCCTGTGGAGTAACCTATAGAGTGCATACTCATATGCTCCTATAAGCAAGATAATAAAAAATTCGGAGCGACATGCTTTTGCTTCTACGGAGCACCACTTATCATAAGGATGTAAAAAACAATATTTCCTCCCATCGTAGTATTCCGTACATGTGAATATTAGATATACGAGCACAGCGATCAAAGACAGTAAAAAAAGGCAATATCACGCACTCTCATTGGAAGCGAACGTCTGAAGTAAGCCTGATCCAAGCCATACAAATAGCTAAAATCTGTGTTTGAATATGTGGATGATTGAGTTCCGACCGATTTAAGTTATGTTCATATACTTTCTCGTAGCTTGTGGTAATGGTTTTACGCAGACCTACGACACGGTACACAATGCTCCGACCACATATTGAGTTAATTTCTAATCGTAATGATTAATTCGATCGCGTCTACCACACAGGACACAGGAGCAAACAATCGGTCTCCAGCAAATCATATTGCTTACAAAGCCTATCCTGCCCGAGTTTACATACCATCTACCACATGGAGACAATACACAATAACTTCTATCCAAAGTTTGATACCCACGAAAATATATACTGGAAGAAGAGTATGGAAATTTTCAAACAGATTTTCACATTCTGGTAGCTAATGTGAACTAAGGTGCTATATGTACGCTTTTAAAGGAATGTCATAGGGCAAGACTACACTTTTAGATGTTATAAAGACAGTCGCAGGCTATTACCTGGTTTATGCTTGGAAAGCTTGCACGTTGTCTTCCTAGTAGGCTTCAACGTACAGAAGATTCCTTATTCTTGTGGGAGTCCTTATCCTTGTGGGAGTCCTTATCCTTGTGGGAGTCCTTATCCTTGTGGGAGTCCTTGTCCTTGTGGGAGTCCTTGTTATGCGAGGATTTATGGTGTGACTCCTTGTCCTTCTTGTGGGAGCCCTTTTCGTGGGAGCCCTCTTCGTGGGAGTCCTTTTCGTAAGTATCTTTCTCGTGGGTATCCTTTTCGTGAGTATCCTTTTCGTAAGAGTCCTTGCCGTGCTTGCCCTTGCCGTGTGAGTCTTTGTCGTGTTTGTCCTTGCCATGCGAGTGTTCGTCGTGCTCGCCCTTGTCATGCTTATGCTTGCCGTGCTCGTGCTCGTCCTTGTCATGCTTGTGCTTGCCGTGTTCGTGCTCGTCCTTGTCGTGCTTGTGCTTGCCGTGCTCATGCTCGTCCTCGTCATGCTCGTCCTCATCCTTGTCATGCTTATGCTTGCCGTGCTCGTCCTTGTCTTTGGAGTGTGAGTCCTTAGAATGCGACTCCTTAGAATGATGAGCCGAAGAAGTTCTGTGGCTTTCGTTGTCCTTGGTCTTAGAACATTCCAAAGTTTTTGTAGGTCCAGGTACCTGAATATAAATTGTCGTGGTGACAGTCGTGGGGTGGTAGCTAGAGCTATGCCCAGAGACAGAGCCCTGTCCGGAGCCCTGTCCAGAGCCGTGTCCGGAGTCTTGCCCAGAGCCGTGTCCAGAGTCAGAGCCTTTGCTGTGCCCACAGGTACACCCGGAGCCAGAACCATGCCCGGAACCAGAACCATGCCCAGAGCCAGAGTCATGACCAGAGCCTGAGTCTGAGCTGTGTCCACATTTACATCCAGAGTCAGAGCCATGGCCAGAATCGTGACCGGATCCGTGACCGGACCCCTGACCGGACCCCTGACCGGAGTCATGACCAGAACTATGGCCAGATCCATGGCAATCAGAGCCATGTCCACAGCCAGACTTTGAATCTGAGCCATGCCCCGAACCGGAGTGACCATCGCCATGCCCTGAGCCATGACCAGAGCCATGACCAGAACCTTGGCCTGAGCCAGAATGACCGTCGCCATGCCCTGAGCCAGAGTGGTCACTGCCATGCCCGCAATCAGATCTAGAGTCTGATCCATGCCCGCAGCCAGACCCAGAGCCATGATCTGAGCCACTGCCATGTCCAGAACCATGTCCAGAATCATGCCCAGAACCATGCCCGGAGCCATGCTCACTGCTTGAACATTGACCACCTGTGGTCAAGATGATTTGAACACACTTAGCTTGACCGTGCACTGGTCTCGTGTAGATGTTGAAAGCCCCATGGTCATCGGCAGGACAGGCATAGAATGAACTATGGCCACCGTAATGAAGAGTACCTCCGCCAGCGACGGAGAAGCCGGAGCTCGCTGATCGCCATAAGCAATGGGCATAAAGATTTGTAACATGAACACCTACATCTGTGACCAGAGTCACATTGAAACTGTGACGAGTGCTCGGATAGAACACAAGTTCTACCATGAGAGTCTGTCATAGAGCCGGTCGTATGATCGATGCAGTGTGTGCCTGCTTGCAGGCCATTACCAAAACGGTTCTGACCATCAGGATGTTGTCCAACGGAGCCAGACGCTCCGCCGGATGCCGTGAGTTGGAAGCAGCACTGCTGGCCTCTTCTGACATTGAGGGCCGTGACAGTTGTTCCTAAAACGAGAGAAGCTAGGAATTCCTTCATAATGCAGGGTGCTTTCAAGCGAGGACCATCAAAACATTAACGACTGACGATTTGAGGAGACGACACCAGCAAGGCAGTCGAGGAAAGCTTTTAATATTGCAGCATATGTGACATGCGTCACAGCACTTTTACAACCATCTTTGGAGTTTGGCGACGGCGGAAGCAATCCCGCTGGTGTATACCATGGTTCGTTTGGGGAACCCTAACGGTTAGTTATGGAGTTGAGGACTTGTTGAGCGGGAATTTTTCGCTGCTCAACCGATGTCTATTTTTTTGTAGACAGCAGCATTGATATTTGATATGGAGCTATAGGCGTGAGAGAGAGATGGTGGCCGAAACAAAGACGGCGGCCATTTTGAGCTCACCCAAATGTCAGTTTCTCCATGGCGGTAATCAAGAGCGAGAGCGTCGTCGTTTTGGTGTGGAGTGGAGAGGCGGATACCATGATGGAGAGAGAGAGCGCGTTGTTTGGCTGGATGATGGGAGCGTTGGCGACCTGTCGTTTCGCGCGGCACCCACGTCATTCAAACGGGCAGCTACGGCCCAACTTGGACCGCGGAGCAATCATCACCGCCAATCCTCCACCTCGGCCCCTGCACGCGCGCCGGGCCATGACGCTGTCGCTTGTTGTGCGCCCAACTTCGCCGACTCCATTGCCAACCTCCCCCACTCCTTTTTTCTCCGCTCGCTCTGCTTGTTTGCCTTTGTTTTTTCCCCTCATCTGACATCATGCCTTTCGGCTACCGCTCCTCGACCGGAGCCCTGGACCGTTACGACGACTACGACGACCCTCCGCTCCGTCCTGAACGATGGGACCGTGACAAATTCGAGCGTATGAGCCGTCGCCCGGCCGATGAGCGTGAGCTCTTCCGCGTCGAAGAGCGGGACACCTATGGCCCTCGGGCCCGCCGCGATGTTGCTCTCGAGGAGCGCTTCGAGAGTCGGCCCCCGCGGAGCCGCTTTGACGAGAGGGACCGTTACCCTGAAGAAGACCGTTTTGATCGCCGTCCTGGCCGTCGCCCCGACTTTCTGGATCGTGAGGAGCCTACTCCTTCCGAGATTGCCAATCGCGCGCTGGCACCATACCGCCGCAAATCCGTTGTCGACAGAGATTACAGCCCGCCAGCTAGACGCCCGCCCAGGCCTAGCATGATCCGCAGACAGTCTTCCCTCGACACTTTCGACCGTCGTCCGCTCCGCCGCTATGAAGCGGAACGTGAAGATTGGAGACCTCCGGCAAACATCGATATTCCTCTGCCCATTCGTCGCCGGCCGTCTCGCGAACGTCGGCGCTCTCCGCCCCGTGATCGATACGGCGAGGAAGAGTTTGAAGAAGTAAGGTACAGAGACACGGAGCCGGATTACAAAGAAGACTATCGTGAGGTCGAAATCCGAAGAGAGAAGCGCAGGCCTCGCCGTCGGCGTGGTGATAGTCACGGTGGCCGTAGTAGCGCTCGTAGCGAGAGCAGATACGGAGCTCCCTCTACGCGCAGTGAGAGCAGATATCGGGCGCCCTCGACCAGGAGCTCCACTTCTAGCTTCGAGGAAATCAGAGAAGTTTCACCGGTTCACTTGCCTGGCAAGCGAGGCAAGACTAGGATGCCGAGACGTCTTGTACACAGGAACGCTCTCATCCAACTTGGGTATCCGTTTGAGGAAGAGGCAAGTGCGTTCTACTTATGAGGTACTCGATTTCTGACCTTTGCCCAGGAAAATTTCCTCATCGTTAAGCGAGCTCTTGAGAAAGAGCAGATTGACGAGGTCATCAAAATCAGTGAAACTTACAAAGAGGAAAACAGTCAGTTAGTCCTTGGGGTAACAGCATTGGCAAGTTTCTGACATTAATATGTAGACCGCACGACCTATCGCTACGATGAGGAAAAGACCATCGACGTGCCCCCGCCTCCAGAGACAATCGTATTGGCCCCACCGCCGCCTCCATCTGAGCATTTTGTAGCTGCTCCGCCCTCTGCCTATCGATCTGCGCCTTCTGTCAGAAGTGCGTCTCCTCGTCGAGAATTTGTCGAAGAGCGCCTCGAAGAATCCAACCACATAGGGGGACCATTCACTGTCGTTGTCCCGGACCGGCATCAGCGCTCTGACCGCGAAATTAAAGATGAGATCCGGCAGTTGGAGAACGAGAGACGAGCCCTGCAGCTTGAGCGCCAAGCCAGAGACCTCAGGATCAGCGACGTCGAATACCGTGAGAAGGACTACGAGTTCGTGGAGGAACGACCACGCGAACGGAACGTTGTCCGAATCGACAAAGACCGAAAGGGTAGGTTGGCCCTTGTACGATCGTCTCATTAGCCCTGGGTTGATCGTTTTGGTGGATACAGCGAGAACACGATCCCGCTCAAAGCCCCCGAACCCTAAGCTGGTTGCAGCAATGATGTCTACCCTTACTTGAAATGGCCTGGGCGGCATGCTCGGTTCAGCCATGGTGCATTTGATGAACCTTTGATGAGCGAGGAGTTTCTGTCTGTCCTATACTTCAAATTGGATACCGGGATTGGCGAACCATGGGTGAATTTGGAGCAGTTGCTTCCTTTACGATTCTGACGACAATTTGACATAGCGAGTCTGTTCTTTGCTAGCTTTGAGATACACTCCACGACACGTTATAGAGATAGCACGAATGATATGACCAATTTCTGGAACCGATATCCTTTGGGCCCGCATTATTGACGCCCGGAGCGATCGTCAAGCTTTCGGCCCGTGCCGAACCCCAGACTGATGCAAACATTGAGCGTGCGACTCCACCAACCCGCAGTCATGGCTGTATGAGCACACGACGACACGCCTCCCGACGCCCCGATCCCAACGCCAACCTCTATGCCCATCTGCATTGAATGCCGCTATCCGCTTAAGACGCTATACACCACTTACAGCAAGGCCGACGATAGGGCTTCTGGCAAAGGCGTGCGCCTCACGCAATGTCCGCGATGCAAGCGCTTCGGCGATAAATACGTCGAGCATGATTTCGTAGTACTGTTCATCGACCTCGTCTTGATCAAGCCACAGGTATGCAGCTTTTGCGCGATGACACGGTCTGACGGCTGACGGCGACTTCCATTCAGGTGTATAGGCATCTCCTCTTCAATCGCCTTGGTAGAGAAGACGACAGATTCGACGTGCGTTTCCACCCGCGCGCCTATGTCTAGTTACAAGCTGAACACCGTTCCAGCCATCCATCATCCGCCTCGGCATCCTTCTCCTCCTTTTCGACGTCTACCTCACCTGGGCACGCATAGAGAAGGCCTCGCCGAACCCTGCACCCTCCACCGACCCCAATAGTCAAGACTTTAGCGAGGGCTCGACTTCGCTGCTGTCCACCCAGCCCTTGGTGCTGCAATACTTGTTTTTCCTAGCTCTCTGCACGGCGCAGACACTCGCGTTCCATTTGCCGATACGGCTGCTGTGCAGGCATGCGCCGCGCCTCTGGCTGCCCTCTTGGTTGCGTGGGAAAAACCTGTTTCCACCGTCGACGCACAGCCAGCCTTCCACCGGCGTGAGTGGGAATGCGAGTACCGCGAACTCGGGGACCACTACTCCGACGGGCTCCGGTCGTCCTTCTACGGGACTGATACCGCATTATCCGCATCCCACGCCTCTTTCCACTGCTCTGCTTGTGTCGTCTTGCACAAAGCTCTTCCCGTTACTTCTTATCATATGGGACTACGATTTGCCTTCTTCAGCGTCAGCGGTTAGTTGGGCCGTCATCGTGAATAACGTAGCGGCGCTCGAGATCCTCATGGATTGCGGCTACCTGAGGGCCGGACTTCTTGTTGGGGTTGGCGCGGCGGTGAGAGCCGTCGCGGGAGAAGCGGTTCTAAGCGCCGTAGGGCTGAGCGGCGGGACAGGTGGATGGAGAGAATTGGGATGGGGGCTCTGGGAAAAATGAGCCCATGTGGTATGGGAGCTTTCACCTATTTAAAACTGGCTTGTTGTAATGAGTCAAGATATCTGCAAGTTTGCTTCTGTGCTTGGCTTCAATGCGTGATCGCAAATGCTCATTGTGTAACTCAGCATATTCCCAAAACGCCTTGCCTAGCCTGTATAACGGGGGTTGAGGAACTATTGGAACAGCGCCACATGCGACGGAACGCTATTCTTTGCCGTCCATCCGTCACTGTCCTATTATCTACAGCTTCCTTGTCCCATACCACCGTGACTTGCTAGTCCATTTAACCATGCCCTGATGTCGTCGAGTTCATTCCAAGCCTCAAGGATGAACCTCTTCCCTTAGAATCTCACTGCGCTATCATGCTCAGGCCTCAAGTCGGAGCGGCGGGGGTTGATGAGCGGGTGCCACTGGGCGAGGAACGTAATGGCCCACATGAGATAGCATGACCAGGCGGAGAGAATGAGGGTGGAACGCCATATGCTATTGTAAGAAATCAGGTTAGCTTGGATCCTCCCATGTTCTGTTGCTCCGCGCATGGCACTATGCATGGCAGAATGCAGAATGCCATTGCCCTTGTCCTGCTCGTCCCTGGTCTTCACATCTGGAGAGCGACCCGTGGACATCGGCTGTGCGCAGCTACAGGCGCCGGGGCGCTCGCAGGGAAGGGTTGGCGGGCCAAGCGTGAATACAGAGTGATCGTAGAAGGGCATAGCTGGCAAGAGCGGAAAATACTGACGTCTGAGTGTCGCCCTTGGGGCTCGCGAACCAGGAGACGGCGCTGAAAGCGATAATGAAGACGAGGCCGATGATGACGCTCCAGCTGGGGTGATTGTTAGTCTAACAGGCAACAAAAAGACAAAGCAATGCAACGGGGAGAGGGGCGACAGCATACCCGTTTGCCATCTTGCTCAGATTTGGGTTTGGTGTTGATGGCGGCTTGGGGATGCGTTGGTACTTGGAATGGGCGGTGGTGATGCGGCAAGGTCTTGGCGCGCCTGACGTCCGCGGCTCTACCTAAATGCACTAACTGGATCAAGCATACCCGCTTTCCTGTCTCCAACTAGCGGCGTTGCAAATATATTTTAAACACTATTATCATACAAGCCCAAGGGCCGGGTATATCCTATCTTACTATGCATACGCGCAGAGTTTGTCTAATCACCCACCGTTTTGGTTGCCTCTTCTCCCTCAGCCGCAGGGCTCTCTCCAACCTTCTTGGGGTCTTCCTCCGGCTTCGCTTCGTCTCCAACCTTTTCCTCTTCGGCTTTCTCCACCTCCTTGTTATCAGATTCATCACTCCCCTTGTTTGCATCCTTGTTTCCCTGCTCTGCTTCCGTTTCCTCGCGCCTTTCTTCTGATATCTCGGCCGGTGCAGCTACCACTTCCCGGGGTGCTTCTTCTGACGCGGCTTCTTGGGCGATTTCAGATACCTCCATGTCGAGTACGTCTTCCTCGTTGGCGGCTGCGGAAGGTTCTTCAGTTTCCGCTGGCTTTTCGGTGGCTGGTTGCTCTTCAATGCTGGAAGACCCACTAGCTTCTTCACCAGACGCTGGCTCCTCCTTGGCTTCGTCGCCCGCCTTTTCCTCGCCCTTATCCGCCTGCTCTTCCTCATCTTCATTCTCCTCAGTAATAACCGTGGTGACTGGTTGCACAGTCGCGGAAGGAGTGTGTCTATGTCTTTTCGTGGTGTTCCCAGTGACCATAGTAGTATTGCCAGCAACATCAGTATCGCTTTCGGCCTCTTTGGCTTCTTTCTTAAGTATTGTCGGAGGAGATTGTGCCTCGACAAGGGTGGCCTCAATTCCTTCCGCTTCTGGAGGAATAGTGTAGTTGTCGCTTGGAATTAGACTGTAAATGTCGCAGACAACCTTGAAGAATGAATACAGCCCTGTTTTGTTCTCCACTTTCCAAAACATGTCTCTGTGCTGAAACCATGCGTGCGCAAATATACGGTAAACGCGGCGAAATACGTTTGTGAGCTGCCGTATCTGCTGATGCGCGGTGCTGGTCTCAGTCCCCAGCGCTAAACGGCTAGGAAAGTTTTTCGGAGATGTAAGCGTGTTGGCCGCCCAGTCGAGCGTATGGCAGCAGTAGTCGACGGCACAGCAAGACTTTGGCGGGTCGTGGACTGCGCACAGGTATTGCCATTCTGAGGCACGCATCTCCGGGCACGTCTGCGCTGAGCAGGGCGGATCATCGGCGAATAGGGCAATGAGAATGGAGTTGGCATGTTCAGTCAGGAAACGGCAAAGTTCGTAAAGCCATAGGGAGCGTTCGACGCCATCTGGCGGTGTCGAAAGCTTGATGGCAGCCTCGCGGTCAAGCGGTATGGAGTTGGCGGAATCGGAGGGATGCGTCGCGGCGTAATGTTGGGCCTTGAGGTATTCCATCAGCTGGAAGGCGGATTCTATCTGGTCGCTCGTTAGCGCTTTACGCATTCAAGAGGCAGCTGGCATGCTTGCATCTTTCAGCTCAAGAGGCGGTGGTCCTTCAGCCATATCGGCAGCCTTGGTCCCTGGCCGTATCCTTCGCGAAGCTCCGTGATCGACGGCAACAGGCGCTCCTTCGCTGCTCTCCTCGGCGATCGGTGACTTGGGGCCAAGCTGGTCTTCGGCGATTGGCGGCGGGCTGGGCAGCCGCGGAGAGCTGGATGGGGACATGGCAGCCATGGTGGATGGCGTTGGCACGCAGGAGCTTTGGCAGTTGGTTGTGAGGTCGTGTCGTTTCCGGGGTAGTAAGGTACCTCGACCTAGCCCTCGGGTGATCTCTCGCCCGGGCTCCACCTGGAGATCATACCTACTCCCAGGAACTACGGATCCATACCTTGGACGCAAAACTTCTACTATTAACTTCACTTCATACTAATGAATGTGTCCAGGCAAATGTGCAAGAAACGTGGGGAGTTGCACACAAGCTCTCCAGAAAACAAAGGGAGGGTAAAAAATAAAAATAAAAAAAGGAGCAACCTTCCCGCTACATTCCCACCGCGTACCTAAGTGTACTGCCAAGCATAACTTCGGTTCGCATCAAGGTTCTTCGTCAAAACATTGAGTCCAACACAAGCCGAGTCGAAGCTGACTCCGCCCAGCTTCTGAAACAACTGCCACTGGCCGACCGTCGACGTGGGACAGACATACCAACCCTGACCGGGGAGATATTTGAACTCGCCATTCTCGTAGGCGGTACCCCCGTAGACAGAGCCGGTTGGGACCGAAGCACTATGGGTTTGTGTGAAGCCGAGAGCACCGTTCGGCTCAATGTAATATTGCTGGCCCCCTGGAACCGAGACAAACTGATGAAAAAAAGTTAACATCGAAGCGTACGCATCAACCAAATCTTCATGGAATGTTGTTCCCAAAACACAACAAATGGATGGTACTATAATATACTGGAAGAGCAGGTAACTAACCATCGCGCCTGTGGTACCAATGGCGGTAATGTTTTGGTAAATGCTGCATTCAGCCCCGACTACGGTCGGGCAGTAAGTACAAGGGCCACGACCGATAAAGAAATGTCGATCGCAGGCATTGATAGGCTCGCCATCAAAGGGCTGCGTTGGATTATCCGCGAGAATCTCGAAGGGCCCGTAAGCTGGCGGAAGCAACTACAATTCGCCGTTCAAGCAGGAGTACATGTACGGAGAGTAGCAAGCTCCTCCACAGATGAGGGTGGGCTCTCCATTTAGCACTGAGCAGAGGGTGCCACAATAGCAGGTATACTTTATTACCGTAAGTTGGAGCAATGTACTTTCGATAGAGGTGGAACATTTCCCAGCTTACTTGGGATGGATGGTAAGGGGTGTTGCCACAATACTGGATGTCCTCTGCCGTGGCAAAGGCGATTTTAAAGACAAGGGACAGCAGCAAAGTGAGGTGATCCATGGTTGATATTGACGATGGAAGTTTTCTCTGTTCAGATTGCTCTTAGATTTTGTGTCTTCATTCGAGTTGAGGACGGTGATTACAAGCTTGAGGGGCGGAGTTAATATTTACATAAGGTTGGCACTCCTCCTTGTAATAGTGGTTCACTTCGTATAGCTCGTTCGCGTAAGCCTGGTGCATACAACGCCCCAGATACGGATGGAAATGCTACCATTGCATGCGGTTCCCCGGTGTCCCGAAAGATTTTGAGTTCCATGTCAATGGCACAAGGCTAGGCATCTCATAGTCATTTGTGCCAGGAAGCTTTCGGTATAGCTTCGTGTTCCTGCATTAAATTTGGCTACGTGCTACTGAACCTTACTTGTCCTCGTTAGAAAAACATGTGCTACGTTTCACAAGATTTAGGCGGTTGAGAGATGCCTGCAAAAACTCAGATGAGACAAACACCAGGTCTGCTTCGGGTCGAGTCACATGTTTTGCGTGCAGTTTGACGGCTTATCTATTTTGAGTCTAAATACGGCTCGCGTTGCGGTCACGCAGAGTTGTCGTCCGTCACCGTCAAGGGAGATTCAACGTCTTATGAGATAACAACGCTTGTATGGAGTAAGAGAAGAGATCTAGTTAAGATACTTATATTATGTATGCGCCCTTATAAGACCTTCTCACACCTATCTAGGACATGGCCTTGTGAGTAGACAAGGGGTATTTCATAGGGACTGCTTATAACCTTCTCCGTCTCGCTAGACGGTAAACCTCGCTTGACGGTGGTGACAGTGACGGACGTTACGTCACCCTTCAGATACCTCCATGGACAGTTTATAAACCTAATGACACATTTATGGCCGGCGAAGTCTGTGGCATTTTTATGGTCACGAGGGAAGATTATCCAGAACCATGTCGTATCCATAATCCAAGCCTTAAGCTTATCCTCGTATAGCCCACATGGCCAACTGCTTTGTAATTCCTAGGGTGGCTCTGTCACGAGTATTGCAGCCGTGGAGATTAATTCCATCGAGTATTACCAAATTCCTCCGTGCATACCGCTATAAAGGCCTTGGTTGCGACTTTGTCTTTTGTGAAACTATGGAACTGGCAATAGAACAAAATGGAGGGTGGATAAAAGACGGCACACTATCAAAGCAACAAGTGCGATGCAGTCGCAAACCGGCCACGACTAACTAAATACAAAAGGAGAACAAGATCTGCGCTAAAATCAAGCGTGACAAAAATAACAAGGCTTAACTCCTTAGCGCTGATCATAACAAATGTGATCTCACCATTCGCTCCGTGGCTCCGCAACAACTGCGCCACTCTTTGGGGTCCTTCCATGCCGACGACTGTTGCCTGGAAACACCCAGCATAGCCGCCACCTCCGGCTCACTTCATATACCGTCTGCCTCTCCTTTGCTTCTCTATCCCTATTTTTGACAGCCAACCTTTCTTCTACTTGATCTATAGCACCTTCCCGCTCCTTTCTCCTATCCCCTAAATCGTTCAGCCAAGATGGGCGTGTCTGACCGCGTCCTCCACCATGTCGTCCGTCGCAGTGTCGAGGCAGTTGGCGACATGGCCTTGAACCGCCAGCAGCGCCTCGAAAACGATGCTAAGGCGTTTGATGAGTATGACGGTCGCGAAATCCCCGTCGGCAGCGTCATCACCATCGGCATGACAGTCCTCGCCTTTGTCGTGATGTATGCTTCGGTACGGCTTCCAATCCATCTCTTGGCTGCATCATTACTAACCGGCCCTGCAGATCCAATACACTCTTCGTCATGTAATCACTACCCTTTGCATGATCGAGACGCCTGCTGCCGCCGTCACCATCTCCGTTTCTGATGAGCTTGATGCGACTCTCAGCAAAGGCGAAAAGGAAGACGAGGCTTTGCTCGAGGGCCAGCCCGCCATTACCATTGTCAACCCAAAGCCAATCACTTCGAAGATCCGCAACACATTGAGACATCTGACTGCGCACGCTGGTTTCGCTTCTCGTTGGAGGGGACTTCCCTATGGCATGGTGTACTCCATTGCCAGCGCCTTCCTTTCCAACTGGACCTACATGCTTCTTCCCGAGTTCCCTGGTAAGCTTGTCCTCATCAGCGTCGGTACATCCGTACTGTGCGCGCGTCTGCACATGATGTGGACCCACGCCACCATTGCCATGCCTTCCAACAAGCATTTCAAGGATCGTGCTTCCGTCAAGGCTTTCAAGCAGCTTGCACTTCCCGCTGCCGTCTACGAGGGCGTTCAACTTTTGGTCATGTACCTCGCTGCCGGCCTTGCAGAGTTTATCCAGGCCGACTTCGAGGTGCTCGGTGCCCAGATCGAACGTGACGATAGCACCGAGACCGCGTCTACCCTGATGATCTACGCGAAGGTCGCAGGCGCCATACTACTCCTGCTCGGCGCCGGCTTGTTTGTTATCCTTCCCGCTCACGTGCAGCTTGTCCGCGTTGAGGCGTCTCTGCTTCCAGAGGATGAGGAGACCATTGTCCCCTTTGACCGCAGCTTTGGCGGCAAGGCTGTCCCTAAAGTGCTGGGAGGTTCGGGTGCTATTGGCTTCCTTGACGCCTGGCGCAGCTTCGACCGCGAGGCCCGCCTTCGGCTCATCAAGCTGTATCTCAAGATCTTCTTGGTCAGCGCCACGTTTGTCCTCCTTGCCGTTCACGTCATCGCTCTGGAGGCGTGGGTTCTTGCTAGCCCGGCCCTCGACGCTTTCACGACGCAGGCGGCTGCACAGATGCAGCTGGTGGCTCAGCAGAACTAAATAGAGGGTGGGGCGGTAGGATGAGGCGCGGAGGCGCTCTGTATCAGTATGGTTTCATCGTGATAGAATAGGTAGTCCTCAGGCATCATATGAATCGAAAGGATCCCAGAAACAGTCGTCAGATGCGGATCAATCAAGTTTTGAAAGGAAAGGGCGCTTGTTCATGCCGGAGCTTGACGCTTTCCGTGCTAGTCGCCAACGTTTCGTCATCGCGGCGCACCAAACTAGTCGCGCGACATTCACATAAACTGCAAAGGAACCGCCCGCTTTCCCACGCTTGCTTTGTCTCTTCACTTCCCGCGCCTCCTTTACCAATCGCACCACTTTCAGCAACCTACCTACCCCCTTCATCAATCCCTTGCTCCAACACCGCGACGATGTCCACCGACGGAGCTCCCCAGCTGCCCGACGTCAACCCCGACGGCGGCTACGTCAGTCTCGATCCCGCGACCAGCCAGGCTCACAGCAACCAGTCCAACGGCGGCTACACGCTGCACGACGTGAAGGACTCTGCCATTAGCTGTAAGGTGCGTGCCGCGGAACCCCAAACACTCCGATCGTTGCCGAGAATGACAACTAACGCTCGTGCTCCGCAGTTTCCATCCTTATCTGCGCCTGCCGCACCGTTCCGCCCTTCTCAAACTCCTCTCTAACCCGCGTGCACAGCTGCCCAAGCCGCCATGGAGTCTGTCCAGAACCACCCCATCACTCAGAATGCCATCAACGGTGAGGTATGCAACGTTGCCTGGTCCGCCAATTGCACTGGACGAGGAGCTGACCACGCGACAGGAAACACGCGACACCGCTGCCAATGCTTGTCGCCGATACTGATTTTACTCGTAGGCCCCGTCGCTCAGAATGCCAGGGCTGAAGCGCAAAAGACGTCGTCCGAGTTCCGCGACCTCGCCGGTGCTCGCAAGACGCCCGACCAGCCCGCTGCCACCGGCCAGCCACTGACGCGTATGCACTAGTTTTGCGCTTGTGTTTTTGGGCCCTTTGCTAACCGAACTCCAGATTACCACTCCATGTTCTACAGGCTTTTGAGCGTAAGTGGGCACCCATGAGTTCCAATCTTGCGTGTTCTAACGGAATGTAGTGGAAGAACCCTCGCGCCACCGCCATATCCTTCGCCTGTTCCGTGCTCCTCATCTTCGCGGGCCGCTACATGAACATTGTGCGCTATGTCTTCAAGGCGCTCTACCTTGTTCTCGGCAGTATGTATACTATGATCGAGAATTACCATGAGAACCCAGTCTAACGCTTTCTGTAGCTACTGCTTTGGCTGAGATTGCTGGAAAGGCTGCCCTGGGCAACGGTCTGGCCTCCCAGATGCGCCCTCGCAAATACGTCATGATCCGGAAGGAATCTCTGGAGCGGTTCACCGACGATCTTGAGCAGCTGATCAACTTCTTCGTGATTGAATTCCAACGCATTGTTTTCGCCGAGAACATCTATGTCACGGTCGCCGTAAGTCGAGAACATCTGGTGGATGCCAATGGCACATACCGTAGCTTCGGATCAATTGAGTTAACATGTAGCTCAGGCTTTCTTCGCGACCTTCATCTCATACTGGCTGATCAAGATCATCCCGCTCTGGGGCCTTGCTCTGATTGGTACCATCATGGTCTATTCTGGTCCTCTCATTTACATGCAGAACAAGGAGGCCATTGATGCTCAGTTGCGCAACACGAACCACATGCTTAACCAGCAAGCCAACCAGTTCAAGGACCTCGCTGCACAGCACAGCGCTCGCGCCCAAGAGACCATGAGGACATACGCCAATGAATACAGCAACAAGGCGCAGGAGATGATTGGACAGGCTAAGAACAAGGCCGCAGGTGCCACTTCCAAGGCCAAGGGCCAGGCCGCCGCAACCACGGAGATGGCTCAGGAGAAGGCTTCTGCTGCCACCTCGCAAGCCCAGGAGACGGTTTCTGCTGCTACTTCACAAGTCCAGGATCAGACCGCTGAGCCCACTTCTCGGGTTCAGGAAGGTGACTTCCCTTCGGCACCGAGTGATGAGTTGCCGATTCACGGGTCTGCTGCTGGCTACCCTGTCACCGCTGAAGCCCAGATCCCCGAGCCTGCGATCTAAAGTTGACATAGGTTCGCAACCAACTAGCAAGTGTATTGGAAGCCTGCTTTGAAAAGCACACATATATGGGTCTTTGACTCTTGGGTCAATGGCAATACGAGAACGATGGAAAATGACTTGACGGCTGCGCCTTCAAAACTCACGAGATGATGGCAGCCGGTTCTTTTTGTGTTTTGTGGCATGACCACGGTACAGGCTTGTATTAATTTCCTAAAAGCGGGGTTTCCTTTTTCCCAAATGATAGGTATTCACTTCTGGAATTATCGACCTACTTTCCTATTCTGCGACTTTAATAGTCCGTGGCCATGGCGGTGGACAAAGCCTAGTGGGGTATGACCTAAAGGTTTTTTGGAATCACGTTTTCGGGATTCATACATGAATAAATTGTTGCTTTGCACCTGGTTGGCATTGTGAGTGAAAGTTGAAGTCGCATAGGATCACGTATTTTTTGAGACAAATTTATATGTTGGTCAGAGACAAGAAGCTTTTGCTGACACTAATACTATTGCGTGACTCGGAACTCATGACGCTGTTTACCATAATAGATACGGATAAGCCCTTCTGGTGTTGATCACACCCTGTCCTTCTTACTCCTCTGTTACCCATCGGGAAGTCTCCTTGGCGCACCAGTCCCAGAACTTCTCCGCAATGCCGTAACCGCCTTCGCGGTTACCGCGAAGAGCCTGCAGGAGGCCCTGCCGCGGCGTGTGTGGGCGACCCCAAGGCACGACCAAACCTCCGTTGTAGGCTGTGCTGGTGATCAGCGGTGACCAACCGGCAAAAAGCTCGGTATAAGCACCGAAAACAGCAGGGTAGCAGAGGATAAACTAGAGTCAAGTATTGGTACAGTGCTCGGCCACGGAAAGTAGAAAGCGAGGAGCGACTCACATTGAGGATCATTCCAAGAATTCCGGTATGACGTTGAAGTTCAGTCCTCAAGTTACCTGGGTTGAAAGAGACGCTTAGGATGCCATCCTGGGCATAACGCCGCGCGAATTCGGAGGCAAGGAAAACGTTTCCGGCCTTGCTTTGCGCGTAATTTATCTGCTGCTGTGGGCTCACGACCGGCATTCCCTTCTTGTCAAACTCAACGCCGTGTACAGGTGCAAAGTCAATGGTTATTGAGGCCGCCCAGGTCACGCGCACACTGTTAGGTGGTGCCATTGCGGCAGTCTTCTTGAGTATCGGCAGGAGCTGCTGCGTGAAAAGAAATGGGCCGAGACAGTTTGTGCCCATCTGCAGCTCGTAACCCTGATGTGCGCAAACGTTGTTAGTAGCCGCCTCGATGGCATGGCAAGATTATAGCAATCCTTTGCTCGGGGTACATGGGAAGAAGCTAGTCTCACCTCTTCAGTCTTGCTACCCTTGGGCGGCATCATGACGCCGGCATTGTTCACCAAAACGTCCAGGCGCTGTTCACTCTTCATAAAAGTCTCTGCGGACTTTTTGATGGTTACCAGGTCGGAGAGGTCGAGGAGAAGGAATTCAATGCGGCCGTCAGAAATAGGGACGGCATCTTCAATGTCCATGATGGCCTCGGCGGCCTTCTTTTTCGTGCGCCCGGCGATGTAGACGGTGGCATTCTTGGAGTAGAGGAGCTGCACCAACTCTTTCCCAACACCGGCATAGCCGCCCGTGACAATGAAGACCTGCTCGAGTCAGAATCACTTACAGCAAGAAGCAGGTGTGGAATTGGGCGCGTACTCTACCGCTCTGGTCCCCAAGCTCCTTGCCAGTGAGAGGAGGCGCGGGAATAAAGAAGGATTGGCCCCATACGTTGAAGAGCTTTTCCATAAACGACATTTTTGGCTGTGCTTGAGCTGTGATCCAGGCAACGTGGAGAAGGAGGTTGCCCCCTGTTCTGGTTTGTTCGGGGGTTGGCTCGGCCGATGATGCCATTCCGCATTTAGGGATCCTGGAAACGAATCTCGATCCTCTAGCGCCACACGGCTGGCCGAGCGAGGATGGCAAGCAAAAATCCAAACTAGCACGGCATGCGACATCGGTGCAGCTTAGGTAGGTATGTAGCTGCTCCGATGAAGCATGTCTACACTCATAAGTAGGTGCCCATCGTAAGATAGAGTACCCCTCGCATCTCGACCTTCGTGCCTGCCAAGGCCTGACGTCGGCGCACGTCCCGCAGCTTATCTCTTCGGGATATCGTTGTTCCGGCGGCTCGACCGAGCGGCGGCATCGCCTGGCAGAAATGTCCATGGGTTGTACTTCCCGCAGAAGTCGCGCCAGTCAATCTTCCACATCGACTTCACCCTACGAACAAAATGGCTAGAGGACGCGGAAAGGTACGTTTACGCGCCTCTCCTTGCAATCCTTGCCCGATACTGATGTAAATATAGGGTGGCAGAGGCGGCCGCGGCGGCCGTGGCGGTGGTGGGCGCGGAGGTTACGCGAGCCGCAGAGGCAACTACGCCGACGTCGAGAAGAAGAACGAAAACTTCGAGAAGTACTACAACGAGCTCAACATCGTACCGGAGGAGGAGCGCGAGCACTTCTGGGCCGCTCTGAAGAGGGAACTGCCCAACAGTTTCCGCTTCACCGGCTCCAAGGGCCATGCGCTCTCGGTTCAGCAGCGCCTCGTCGACCACTACATTCCCCAAATCACAAACGTCGAGTACGATGGACAATTGGTCCCTCCGCCCACGCCAATTGAGTGGTTCCCCGAAAAGTTGGCTTGGCAGATGACTACTCCCAAGAACGTCATTCGCAAGTTCCCTCCCTTCGCTTCCTTCCAAAAGTTCCTCGTCTCCGAAACCACCGTCGGCAACATCAGCAGACAGGAAATTGTTTCCATGATACCGCCCCTCCTTATAGACATCAAGCCCGGGATGACAGTTTTGGATCTCTGTGCTGCGCCGGGTAGCAAGTCGGCGCAGTTGATTGAAGCTATCCACGGTGGAGAGGAAGCGCGCGTCCGCAAGGTATTGCACAAGGTTGCTGGTGAAGAGGGCCGTGAGTTAAGCCCTGATGGTGCCGAGATCGAAGCCGAGAAGTCGTTGGTCGAGTCTGAGGATGACTGGTCGGACGACGGAAGAGCGACCGGTTTGCTCATCGCCAATGATGTTGACTATAGGCGCGCTCAGATGCTGGTTCACCAAGTCAAGCGCCTAAACTCCCCCAATTTGCTTGTGACGAATCACGATGCCACTCTTTTCCCCTCTATCCGGGTTTCATCCAAGCCAGGAGAACCAGCCAACAAATATCTCAAGTTTGACCGTATTCTGGCTGACGTGCCTTGCTCTGGCGATGGCACTGCCCGCAAGAACCCAAACATCTGGAAAGACTGGATCCCCGGTAATGGTCTTGGGCTCTACGTGACTCAAGTTCGCATTCTCGTTCGCGCTCTGCAGATGCTCAAGGTCGGTGGCCGTGTTGTTTACTCCACTTGCAGTATGAACCCTGTCGAGAACGAGGCTGTTGTAGCAAGCGCCATCGACCGCTGCGGTGGCATGTCGAAGGTTCGTATCGTCGACTGCAGCAATGAGTTGCCCGGCCTCAAGAGGATACCAGGTTTGGCGCAATGGAAGATTATGGACAAGGCCGGCCGCATGTTTGGTTCTTGGGAGGAAGTTGAAGCCGAAAGACAGAAGCAAGGAGAAGAAGGCTTGGGACGCCTAGTTGAGGGCATGTTCCCACCCCAGGTGACCGACAATGATGCTGAACGCATACCTCTTGATCGTTGCATGAGGGTCTACCCTCATCTCCAGGACACTGGCGGCTTTTTCATTACTGTCATCGAGAAGTTGTCGGAGATCAAGGCTCGTCCTGAGACACAGGCCGGAGGAAAGCAAACTGTCCCTCCCGCGCCCATTACCAATCTTGTCAACGAAATTGAGTCCAAGGCAGACAAGGGCGAGCCACTACGGGGCCTCGAGTCGTTGGATGAGATGATGCCTGCCAAGAAAGATGAGGATGTGCCGATGGCTGAGGGCACTGATCCTCCTGTTGCCCGACAGAACCAGTCGAATGCCGTCCTGCCCGCATCGCCTACCAAGCGTAGTCTGGAGGAAGTAGACGATGCTGCCGATGAGGATTCTTCTGCAAAACGCCCCAAGATTGAGGTCAAGGAGCACACCGAAGCTCCGCCGGCAGTTCCTGAAAGGGTTCCCGTTGCGACTGGTTCTGTTTCCGAATTAGCCAAGCCTGCGGAACAAACTGGAAAGAAAAAGAACAGTCAGCAGCACGAAGAGCCCTTCAAGTACCTTGACCCCAATCACGACGCCTTGAACAGTATTTTCGGATTCTACGAGATCGCTGGCCGGTTCCCGCGTGACCGTTTCATGGTCAGAAACGCCACAGGAGAGCCAGCTAAAGCTATCTATTATACCTCGACCCTGGCGCGCGAGATCTTGACACTCAATGAGGGCAAGGGTATGAAGTTCGTTCACTGCGGTGTCAAGATGTTCATGAAACAAGATGCGCAAGGACAAGACATTTGCAGATGGCGCATACAATCCGAAGGTCTGCCCATCGTTGAGCCGTGGGTTGGCGAGGGTAGAGTTGTCCGGTTGTACAAGCGGGCTACGCTCCACAAGTTACTGATTGAAATGTTCCCTAAAGTTGCCGGTGACGGCTGGGAGTCTTTGGGTGAAATAGGAGAGAGGGTAAGGGATATTTCAATGGGTTGCTGTGTTCTCAGGGTGGAGAACAGTGAACATGAAGACGGTTTCAAGGAACGTCTCGTTTTGCCCTTGTGGCGGAGCATGTCATCATTGAACTTGATGCTACCAAAGGAAGAGCGGAGGTTAGTAACGCAAGACTCAATAGCTCATTCTCAGCGTATACTGATGTTTCTAGGGCTATGCTTCTGCGTCTCTATAACGACGATTCTCCCCTCATCGACCACCACCAAAAGGCCGAACAAGCGGCTGCTAGTCGTGCGGAATCCCCAGTAACGGCTGCTCTGGACGATGCGGCCCCTCTCGCTGACGAAGAGCCGGAAACCTTTGAGGACCAGAGTGGCGGCGTGGCGCTCAACACAGATATGGACCCTGATATTGAGGAGACTACGACCGGCGTCGGCTCTACGGGTCTACCTGACGAGAACCAAGCTATGATTGCCGAGGACATGCTGAGAGCCAGCAAGCAAAACGAAGAAGACAACAAACGCGAAACGGCAACCGGAGAAGTTGTGGCGCCGGAAGATGACATGATGAACAAGAATTCCTTTTAAAGAGAATAGCCAGACGAGCAAAAAAAAAAAAAAAAAAAAAAAAAAAAAAAAAAAAATAGGGCAACCGACACTGACAAGATGCATTGCGCTCTCATCTAGGCAAGTTCGCAATAGTTAACCAACAGCTTTGTTTGGAAGCTGGCGCTCTTATTGGCTCGGTTTTAAGGCTCTGCGCAAAAAGCGCAAACTAAAATACGAGGGGAACAGATGGACATACTGGCACGGATAGATGCACATTGCACGTTTCACAAAGTTATACAGAAAATATAAGGCCTCATTTGGCTCTTGGGGTCTCACTGGCGCATGCTCTTCCAGCCACTCATATCTTAACAATGGCATGATGACGACAACGCTGACAGGCCCTTAAGTGCCCCCCTGAGAAGCGTGGTCTAGGCCCGGTAGACACTGTACCGCAGGTGAGGGATTATTTCCAGCCGCACCATGTGGCGGCTGCGCATAAAACCGGGCCAGACACAACGCCATAGCGAAATGTGGCGCATCCCGCATGCGCTAACCAACCCCACGAAGCTTGGGGAGGCTTGGGGAAAGCTTGTCCTTGTATTTATTCTCCATTAGGAATGGATGGTGCGTCACCAACGACGCCTTTAGTGGTTGCATAACCCCTCTATAGTGTCCCTGCTGGATTTCTTCAGGAGCTCTCCTTCCCAGCTCCTTATCACCGCCTTCCTCATGCATTTCTTCACTTTTGTTTGTCCATCATGGTTGCTCTTGGTACTGACAGTGAGCCGTCATAGCCTGCTTGCTGACGCTCTTTACCTGGACTTGGACGACAAAGGTATGTCTTTGCCACTTTGCCTTCCACGTAACTCCGGTTTTGCTAATGCTCTCGTTGCTAGACAATATCACAGCGGTTGCAAGCACGGTGGCGTACGGACTGATGAAATATTACACTGGCAATGAAACTGGACAAATACCTGGAGAATTACCTGGCCCATATTACTGGTGGGAGGCTGGAGCAATGTGGATGACGGTCCGTAGTCAAGAGCGTAGGAGCCATAACCGGGATACCTAACAGGAACGTAGATGGTCGAGTACTGGCACCTCACCGGTGATACCACCTATAACGACGTGGTGAGCCAGGCGCTCTTGTTCCAGGCTGGATCGGACAAAGACTACATGCCCGTTAATCAAACGAAAGACGAGGTATGTTTTGCGCGTGCCCAAAACACATATTTCTGACTGGACTTTTTAACTCACCGTTCAATTAAAGGGAAATGATGACCAAGTTTTCTGGGCTTTCGCCGCTCTCGCAGCTGCGGAAGCTGGGTTTCCAAACCCGCCATCTTCGCAACCACAATGGCTCGCTCTCGCCCAAGCCGTCTTCAACGGCCAAACTACACGCTGGGACGCCTCTACTTGTGGTGGAGGGTTGCGCTGGCAAATCTTCGCCTTCAATGCCGGATACAACTACAAGAACACTATTGCCAACGGCGGATACTTCCAACTGGCCGCCCGGCTAGCTCGATACACTGGAAACTCAACCTACGCTGATTGGGCAGATCGCATGTTTGATTGGCTGCTCCATTCTCCTCTCGTTACCATCAGTCCAGATGGGACGTCGTATCAAGTCAACGACGGCAGTGGTACGCTAAACAACTGCAGTGATGCTGACCACCTTCAATGGACCTACAATTACGGAACCCTTATCGCCGGCTCCGCTTACATGTACAACTACACCAACGGCAGCTCTGTTTGGGAAAAACATTTACAAGGTTTGCTCAATGGGGCCGATGTCTTCTTTCCTCAACAATATGGAGGAAGCATAATGTCAGAGTTTGCCTGTGAAGGAAATGAAGACTGTAACTATGATCAACCCTCCTTTAAAGCATACCTATCGCGCTGGATGGCTGTCGCCTCTCAGCTTGCACCTTTCACCGCTGCAAACATCACCGCGAAACTGCGCGCCTCGGCAGCCGGCGCGGCGCAGCAGTGCAGCGGGGGAGACTCGGGCCAAGCTTGCGGGCGGCGCTGGTACCAGAGCACTTGGGACGGGTATACTGGTGTTGGCGAGCAGATGAGCGCCCTGAGCGTGATTCAATCGAATCTGATTCCGCTTACACCTCAGCAAGCTCCATTGAGTTCGGGCACCGGGGGTAGTAGCGCGGGCGATCCCAGTGCTGGTACTAAGAATGGGGCATCCAATCCCATGGTTATTCAGCCGATTACTACCAATGACAAGGTAGCTGCGGCTATTTTAACAGCGTCGTTGTTGATTGGCATGCTGAGTGGTACATTCTGGATGCTTAAGGTGGAGTAATGGTGGTTTTTTGTGTTTATAAATCGTATCCTCTGGGGTGGTCTAGGCGTACAAAGCTATATCTGTTGTTTTACTGTTCTGTTCTTCCACGTAGAATTATATTCTGAAAGGCGTCAAATGGGAATAACCCTGCAAATTCATTACACTGTACAGGTATCGATGTAGTCTTGACGATAATAAACCGTGCATTTTCTCGCATCAATCCTTTCTTAGAGTTCTCTGAGCTTCTCCTTCGCTTTGCCCAAGAACCCATGCAACTTCTCCTCCAGTCCGTGAAGTGGGTCGTGAGAGCCTGAGCCTGAACCTGAGCCTTGCATGAAAACGTTGGCTTCACACAAGGGGCCCACACAATTTCCCATATCAGGACCGCTGTGAGTGAAGTTGACACGCTGGCAACGCGCCTTGCGGTTGTTCCATCCATCTGTCGGCTGGTCCGTTGCGTGGAACACGTACACTATGTCGTGACCCACAGGCAAGAAGGAACCGTGTCCAGGCCCCCAAGGTCCATTCGTGCCATCGGGTGTGCAAATCAGGGGAGTGTTCGACTTGCGCCAGTTGTTTTGATCCAACGGATCACCGCCAGTGTATTGGATTGTGTTGGTCTTGTAGTCTTTGGTCCAAGACCCGGCGCACGAGTAAGCAATACCTACCCAGGAACCATTGGGGCTGGCAAGCCATTGCGGACCCTCGTTGATGCCACTGGGACCGCTGCGCTCCCAATCAAAGTCTGGGTGTGAGATCCTTGTCGGTGGGCGCGATCCGTCAGCCTCAGCGGGGTTCAGCAGGTGCACAATGAACAGCTCCTGTGTCTTGTCGCTGTGATGCTCTCCTAGCGGCCAACCACTGTACACAAAGTAGAGCTGGTTGTTTAGGTGAATAACCGTGCCATCAATAGCCCACTGGTCTTGTGGTACCCCGCGCAGAGGGCCAATGAACTCCCAGGGACCCTGGCAAGGATCTTGGGATGCGGGAGGACCCCCAATCACATACATGCGGTGCGACTTGTTACCCTCCTTTGGGTTTTCGGCCGCAACGTAGCAGTACCACCGCCCGTCGAGGGAGTGGATCTCTGGTGCCCAGATACCACCAGACCAGGGATGGCCAGGCTCAGGTTTCCTATTGAAGGTTAGAAATACCTGAGATAACCAGTTGTCTTGATGCGAGGGAGATGGAAGTCGAAACTGGAAATCCGCGTGGTTCCTTGCGGAAAGTGAAGATCACTTACCAGATGACATGCCTGGAGCAATTGCCGAAGTTGAAGAGGCTGTCGGAGCACCAGACCTCAACCCTATCGCCAGCCGTGTAGGTCTTTGGGTGGCGTTAATGACAGGCCCATGATACGTAGACCGGGACGGAGACTGACCAAGTAGAACTTGCCATGGGCGTAGGTGATGAAGGGGTCCGGGGTGGGCGTGTGGGTGACGTTAATGACGGAGTTGTTGTAGGTCATGTTGACAGGTGTGGATGGTGTTTGCCGGTGGTCGTCTGGGAGGAGACGTATGTATATGTGCAGACACACTGCCCGGTAACGGCTTCCGGTACGGCTGTTTGCGTCATAGCTTCCAAGCTTGAAACGACAAGTACGTGGACAATTACGATGCTCCGCCGGCAGCCATTGGTGCTTCCGACGTGTCAAGATCCACTCTCGTCAGGCCCAGCGCCTCGTTTTTGGCTGAGCTGGTGGCTGTGTGAGGGGTTGAGGGGTGTGAGGGGCAGCCGGGCGGGCGGTGAACAGCTCGGGATGTGCGCACCGTGTCTCCGACATTCCTACTATCTATCCACTATGTATTTGATATGTTATTATAAACACCAAAAAATAAAATAAAAAAGAGCATCCTCCACCATGCCACCCCGTCCCTTCCCTTACCCTTTCCACGTCGGCATCGACATATGCTCCATCCCACGTATACGGAGGCTCATGACAAGCAAATCCTCCCATGCCGACATCGATCCCAACAAGTTCCGACGCTTTCTGTTCCGCCTCTTTTCCTTCCCTGAGATACTGGACTTTTCTGACAAGCATCCTGACTTGTTCAACCCCGACTTGGCCCCCAGCCCTGGTCAGCTCGACAGGGCGTTTGCTCACATTGCCGGCCGGTAAGCCAGGTCACGAGCATGCCATGGCCCGTTGTGTACAGCTAACAACAAAAGATTTGCAGCAAAGGAAGCTATGATCAAAGCTTTTACGCCGCGTAGGGTCACTTTTCGGGAGGTGGTTCTCGCAAAGCCACAGTTCTCAACCGAAGGTCCACAGGCTATTGTTCTTGACGAGGAACAAGCAATGACTACGATGCAGCGCTGTTTTTTGCGTGATCGCCTCAAGTTTACCTTTCTTGCAGAAGTCGTTGGAGAGCCTGCATTTGATACTAAAAGTCCAGATCTTTGCCATAAACTAAGAGACTCGGATGGCCAGGTTGTACATGTTAGCATTTCTCATGATGGAGATTACGCTACCGCTGTATGTATAGCTCCTATTTGTACCCCAGTACAGAGGTCAACCACATAAACCCTTAAGGAGGCCTATGCTTAGGGGAAGAGAGTTTTAGAGTAGTGTAGGTAGTACAACGGTCTTCACCGCGAAACTAGCCTCACACTGTAGCGGGCGTACCAATTCAATAGGTTTTTAAAGGTTATTAAGCGGTGGTTACGTAATTTAATATTAGTAAGAGGTAGGGTCGGATACCGAATAATAACGCGATATATACTTACTATATAGTAAAAACTAGTAGCTCTATATAGAGAAACTAGTTACTATCCTTAAAAAAAAAATATTATAGAGACGAATAATACTATATTATTTTTTATATTTATTTTAAATAAATATATAAAGTTACGCTTAATATATCTATAATAAAACTCGGCTATTTACTAGGATATAAACTTTTTTTTAATATTTTCTAAGATATATATACTTTATCTAATATAAGATAAATATATCTAAAAGGTCTCTCTAAGATATATATATAATTAACGGCTATTTACCAAGATATATATTTTTTATCGTATAATTTCTAAGATATTTATAATATTTCTAAGATACATATATCGAAAAAGTCTCTCTAAGAGATATACTTTTAACTTAGAAATTATTTCGAAAAAAATTATATATCTTAGTAATATTTTTTTTTAAAAAAATATATTACTATAAAAATTAAATATACTCTTAAAAAAATATACTCTTAAAAAAAATCGAATATATTCTTTAAAAAAAAATATTCTTAAAAAGCGAATAAACTCCTAAATTTTTTTTTATAAAAAAAACTAATAAATATTTATAAAAAATCGAATATATTTCTTAAAAAAAAAATATTCTTAAAAAAAACGAATATATTCTAAATAGTATATATATATATTTATTATAATTTCGCTATTATTATCTAATTTAATTAAGTATAGATTCTTAAAGCTTAGAATTTATAAAAAATATTTAGTTTAATTAGGATCTATATTCTTAAAATTTAGAATTTACGAAAATATTTAGTTTAATTAGGATCTATATTCTAGAACTTAAAATACGCGATTAATTTTATAGTTTAATTAGATAGGCGCCTAATATTAGGATATAAACACTAGGACCTTTCTTTCTTTTTTCTATTTAAAAAATTAACTATAGAGCTATTTTTAATTAGAACCGGGTTTTTAACTATAGAAGAGGTAAGAAAATATGCCTTATTCTATATTAACTAGGGAGGAGAATTATAGAAAATAAAATATAGTAATTTAAAAATATTATACTATATTTACTATAATCTAGTAGTAAATAGCTATCTATTTAAGATATATTTTTAATTTTTTTTTAAGAAAATATACTCCTATTTCGGTTTTTTTTTAAATAAAATATACTAATATTTATTAAATCTTTTTATTATTAAACGGCTTATAAATTATATATGCCCTTAATCTACCTACGAAAATTAGAGATATTTAAACTTAACTAAGTTTCTTACTTCCTAGTATAGCTAGGAATTTATTATTGGTAACCTAGTAATTCGCCTAGTATAAATTCGATTTAATAAGCGAATTTTATATAGAAAAAAGGTTCTATATTAGGTAGCTTAGAGAGCTAAAGATTCGATTTCTTCGAGTATTTAGGGCGACTAAAAAGAAATAATTTAAAAAATTTAGGTACTATTTATTATTAAAAGTTTATTTTTAGTTGAATATACTAGCTATTTTTTTAGCCTTTTTTTTTAAAAAAAAAATCTCCAAGAACTATAAGGGAAAGGAGGAGGCCCTACTAAATTTAAAAGAAATTTAGAAATAAAAGAATTCTAGTAAGTTTTTTTAATAGTTATTTAGAAATATATCTCCTTAAAAAAAGCGAAAATAAGAGTATATTCTCTTTTTTAAAAAAAAGGAAATAGGATTATATTCTCTTAAAAAAAAAAAAGCGAAATAGGAGTGAACTTTCTTTTTTAAAAAAAAGAAATATAAGTATATTTACTTAAAAAAAAAGCGAAAATACTAATATATCTAATAAACAGGTATATATTTCTTTCTCTAGACGTATTTTTAGAGGTAGCCATCTTAAATTTACGCGAGTATATTTTAATTAATACTACCTATATAAGAAATCAACTAGAAAACGCGTTTTACTATTTATTAATAGTAATAATATTAGATTCTAATAATATTATTATTCTAATTTATTTTAGAGTCGCTATAGGTACTAAAAAAAAAATAAAGAAAATTAGGTTTAATTCCTTTAATTTCTAGAAAAGTCTCTTAGTTCTACTAAAAAGCGAATTTTCTTTTATAGGAATTAACTAGTTATACTAAATTCTAGTAGAATTACTATTATTTTAGATCGAGGAAAAGGACTAGTTCCTATAGTAGCCGAAATTTACCTAAATACTTAGTATTATTTTTACCAGCAGTATATTGCTAAAAAAAAAACAATTACTACTAGTTTTAGTAGTAAAATTACTACCCTTTTTTACAGTATAAGCTTTTTTTTTTTAAGAAAATATATTCGAAATTTCGAGTTTTTTAAGAATATACTTTTTTTTTAGAAAATATATTCTTAAAATTCGAGTTTTTTTTTAAGAGATATACTATATCACGAATTCTTTCAAAATATAAAAATTTAATACCTACTAAAATAAATTAGAGTAATTTATTACTTAGATTTAGCTTAAATTCTTACTTTTTTTATTTTATAACTCTTAAAGCCCGCTCTAATCTATCTAATTTATATTAGGGAAAACTAAGGAAAATTAAATAAAATTAAATAAACTTATATTTAATTTAATTTACTACTCTACCCTTATAAAAATATAATAGTTTTATTATAGATTTAGGTTATTTAGGATATAAAATAACTTATAGCTAGCTTTAATTATTAGACTTATCTAATTTTTATATAGTAGAGTTTCGAAAAATTCCTGATATATACTTTTAAATTTTATGTCTAAGATATGTATATTTTTTAATTTTATTACTAAGATAGTATATATTTTTATAACTTATTATAATATATCGAAATATATAGAAATATTTTAAAAAAATATATGTATCTTAGAATTTTTTTTTAAAAAAAAATAAATTCTTTTTTATTAAGAATATATTTCGCTTTTCGGCTACTTACCGATATATATATATTTTTTCGTAAAATTTCTAAGATGTATTTAATAATTCTAAGATATATAAATATATATATCTTAGAGTTCTGCGCTATATATATAGTATCTCCTTGCTCTCCTAAAATTCGATCTTCTAAGATTAATTCTATGCTAATTAAAAGTTTCCTAGCGTTACCTTTTAGCTAGGCGATTATAGCGACTAGCTACTATTTCTTTTCGTAGGCGCTTAGTAGGAGGCCGCCCTAGCTTTCTTTTTCTAGTACTATTTTTATTTAGATGCGTATCGTTAGATTCTAGCTAATTAAATAAAAAATCTTTTAGGGTAATTCATTACCCTATAGGAATCGATTTTCTAGCTAAAATCAATAAAATCTTTAGGATCTAGTCCTAAAGTAGTAGCTAGAGCGTAAGTATATCGATAGGGGAGCTTATATTTTATAAAATCTTTATAGGAATATTTCTTTTCAAGAATATTTATAAGAAATTGCGAATTTTCTTAAGAAATAAGCCTAATTTAGTATTTCCTACTAGAAATAGAGAGATAATCTGGTATAGAGACTATTAAATAAATTAGTATATTTT